CGTATGTGAGATGATGAGTGGCGCCGGTGTCAACCACCCAGGTTGACTCGTTGTGTTTTTCATCGTACTGCTGAAGCAGTTGCCACCCTTCATACGTAGCCATTGCCATTGGTACTCCCTTCTCTCCCTTCTTCTCACGGGCTGCCGTTGCTGCAGTACCCTTTTCTTTCTTTGACGGTTCAGGACAATCGATCCGCCAGTGGCCAGGTTTGCCACAATTCCAACAACTACCAGGAGCTGTACCTTTTCCCCCATGTTGTTTTTCTTCTTTTGGTGCGCCATTGTTACGACCACCCCTCCCTCTAAATCCACCTCTACCTCTTCCACCACCTCGTCCACGCTGAGCTTTTCCTGCATAGAGAATATTTCCATTACTGGCTGCATCCTTTTCTCTTGTTTCTGAGACTTCTCTTGCACGCATTTCTTCTAGGTACATAGCATGTAGAGCACGGAAGGTTTGTTTGTCGGATGGAAGATTATGAAAATCACGACGGATATCTTTGAGTGAATAAGGGAGTGAACCCACAAGTATGTCACAGCGGGCTGTGTCGGTTGCAAACTCTGGGAGACCTGACTTGATCCCACGTTCTACTAGAGTTCCAAAACGACGTAGATGTTCTTGCATGTCACCACCATCTGACAGATAGAACTTGGATAATTCGGTTCGTAGGTCGGTGATGACTGATGCTTGCTTGAACTGATGTGCATCACAAATGAGTGACCACGCTTCGGAAGCAAGTTCCATGCCGTTGATTTGCCAATGGAATGCTTCATCGACTGATCGTAGAAGGAGCGAGAGAGCTTCTTGATTACGCTTTTCCCAAAGCAAGAATTCCTTCCTCCTCTGATCCATACTGATTACTTTGCCCTTCTCATCTACCTCTATCACGTCCTCTTCATCACCTGCCTTCTTGTCCTCCGGTTTCTTATCCTCATCACTTTTGCCACCGTCACCTTCCTGTCCCTTATCTTCTGCCTCACTTGGCAGAGGGACTTGAGCGGGCTCGACTGCTGGCTCTTTCTTGATGGTGATCTCGGTGCTCCTGATGGATGGATCGACGGGTTTCTTGGACTTGCTGAGGAGGATATCGACATAACCTCCTGCATAGGCAGCGTCAAGGACGGCTTGATGCCAGCCAAAGAAATTCTTGCCGTTGAGTACTGGTTTGACAGCGCCATTGACGAATTCAAAAGTCTCTTGCTTGGGAGGCATATTGTACTACTTGTAGATGTGTTACTGGTGTAGATGGGGCGGTATACGGTGATTCAGATATTCTGATTCCAAATCTGTTGAAATTCACGATCTAGTATGGATTCATAAGATCTTAGAGAACTATCTAGAAGAACTATCTAGATATATATCATACAGGGGATACGTAGTCTTTAGTCATCTTTCCCACGCTCTAACTCCTAATAACACCGCAGTGTGGCGGGTCACCATTCAACAGTTTGTGTCATGATCACGTGTGTCAAAGTTGCTAGTTTGGGTAATATCTAGTCACCTCCATTACCCGCCACCGATAAACACTACCAGCCACCCTTATCTACATTACACTCTCATTCCATGTACATAAGGTAGTGCATAGCTTGAAACAACTTCGATGAATGTATCTTGTCTGTCTTGACATACACGTTCTCAGTTACATTTGCCAAACTTAGTGTTCATGTCACGGCCATCAAATGACTTCTCTCTAACTGTCACGACCTGTCCCCACCAGATCTCTGAGAAGAATGGAGACAGGTGGACTACAACAGTTTACAGGCTTGAGCTATGAAGACTGGTGTATAGCTCGTGGCTTGTGAAGTTGGTCAGACAACTAAGATGACTTGGAAGGATCAGGCAGGTCAAGATGATGACAAAGGGATTAGGGGTGACAAGAAGAGGTTAGTAGATGGTGAGTAGAGATCTTGTATCAAGAAAATATATTGATCCTTAAGATAAAGGATCCTACAGAAGGGTTTATATACTTTTCTAGAGCCCTACTGTCCTTCACCGTCTGTAGCACAATCGGTATGTTAGAGACACAGCCAGAGACGTTCAGCTCCGGAGCTGCACGGGTCAAAATACCCCCTTTGGACCCAGCCGGAGAAGCGTACACCTCCGGAGGTGACTGGACACAGCCAGAGCTTTTTCAAAATTGTGTTATAATCACTGCTTAGCCCCTCTTCTTTGTGTGTGCTACTGATGACTCTATGTACCACTATCTCCATTGTGTCTCTTTCACAGGCAGTGTGAAACTCTGACCTCCAAAACTAAACCAAGAGTCTCTTCTTGGACCTATCTGGATGTCCCAATTGTTGGTTATTCATGAGTGTGTGCAAGATAGTCTGGGGACCAGGAGTGTATGGTCATCACCAAACAGGTGCTGAGTACTTATCTTGCTTATAAACTCCTTTGTGGTTCTCTTTCATGGGGTGAAATATGTATTTTAGATCGGCTATGCTCAATCTCTCCCCGGAAAAACACCCAGGAGTGCGTTCAGCTCCGGAGTGGAATGTCTCCCACTGGGTCTGATCAGGTCCGTGCAGCTCCGGAGGCGCATGTCTCCGGCCGTGTCCCTAACACGGTAGCTAAGTACCATTGGTATCTACAGATGGTAGGTACAGATGGTACTTACAGACGGTAGGCGCAGACGGTACTTACAAACGGTACTTACAGTTGGTAGTCGCAAATGGTAGTTGCCAATGGCAAGTGCATATGGTAAGATCAGTTTGTGACTCCAGTCTGTATAGACCAATTGCTATCTCCCATATGCAGCTCGACTACAATACGGTACAGTACGATATTATACGGTTATCTACTACATGGGTTACGACAGGGTCGTAACACTAACGGACTGACGGTCAACGAACCTCAGCGGACTTGACACTTCGGATCCAATGTCTCACCCAAACAGAAGGGCGTAAATGTTGAAAGGGGTGTAACTACAGCGTTCTCCGACGTAGTTACTCTAACTAGGGTTTTCACTGATGGCGATGTATCTCAATCTGGGTGTGTCTATCTCTATCAATCTTCACTACTGACAACAATCAAGGATTTCAGCAATCTTCACAGCTAACAGTATCTACTCCTAGATATTCATCGAACCCTCTCGCGCTTAGACGTACTTCAACGCACTTTGTCCAACTTCCAAGAGTCCCCGGCCTGTCACGCTGCGCTGCGTGACATCATCCTTTCCCATCAAACGAAGTTCCTTTGGACATCAGTTCGCCATCAACGATCCAGTTCTCATGAACTTCACCACCCACCAGGGTATCAGGAGGCTAACTTAGTCGAGGATGAAGTTAGTCATGAAGTTAGTCATGTAGGAAGCTAGGAGGATACGAGAATAGGGAGATACAAAGTTAGGAAGGCACACACCGGGGACAAAGTTCACCAGGTACGAAGCTCGGGGCCTTGGGTTGAACAAAGTTTTGCGTAGGTGAAGTTAGGCAGGGACGAAGTACTTAAGGGCCGAAGTTCCCAGTTGACGATCTCTGGTTGTTGTCTTAGTGATAGAAGTCAGTAGAGCACAAAGTTATTACACCCAGAAGTTATTGTCACCACCTATACTACGAAGAACACACCTATTGAAGGTCATAGCCCACGAAGTTATTGGCCGTCGGTCCTAAGAAGATAAGGAAGAACCAACCCTGTGACAGGTGTGTCCAGTGTGCTATTTGTCTGTGTCATTTGCAGTCCTAGTCTTTGTATGTTTGCCATGTCTTCTGAGTCCTTGAGCCCATTTTTGATGAGTCCGGATAATGAGTCTTCCCGGATTGCTCCGCTTACTATGTGTCTTGGTTCCTTGTGTTCTGAGTCTATCAAATTTGATCCATTTAGGTTATGTATTGGCAGTAATTGTAGCCAATTTCCTTTGTTTAGATCTGGGTCCTTGCTACTACCTCTTCCTGGGTGATAATCCCCTCTTCTGGTCAGAGCATCTGCTCCTCTGTTTTACTACCTGGTCGATAGGTAACCTCTATGTTGAAATCTCCTAATATGTCCAACCACTTCATTTGTCCTCGATTTAGTTGTCGCTTGCTTTGGAAGTACTCTAGGTTCTTGTGGTCCGTAATGACCTTTATGACATCACTACTGTTTGCCAAATAGGGTCTCCATGCTACCAAGCAGTCCACAATGGCTAGTAATTCTTTCTCTCCCACCGTGTAGTTTAATTCACAGGGTGTCATCGCCCGGGACCAATAAGCGACCGGGCGGAGTTCAGGGGTACCCTTTATCAATGGGTGAGGGAACTGTTGAGACGCTATCGCCCCTATCGCACAGTCAGATCCATTGGTCTCAATCCAGGTTGGTCGGGTTCTACCAAAGTGTCGAAGTACCGGTGCTGTGGTGAATGTTTTCTTCAGATCGTCAAAAGCCTTCTTGGCATTCCTGTGTCCAGTTCCAAGCTTGATCCTTCCTGGTTAATTGTGTGAGAGGTCCCACGATATGGCAAAATCCTTTGATAAACCATTGATAGAAGTTGGCAAACCCCAAGAAAACCTGAGTATCCCGGACTGTCATGGGTTCTCCCCATTCTAGAATTGCTTTCACCTTTTCTTGATCCATTTTGATCCGCTCATGTCCTATTACATACCCTAAGAACATTACTTCATTAGAACTCCATCCACACTTCCTCGGACTGACGACCAAGTCGTTTTCAAGTAGTCGATCTAGTGCCTTTTGGACAATTACTTGATGGTTCTCAATTGTGTCTGAGTATACCGTGATGTCGTCGATGTAGGCTACTACTCCTTCGTCTAGTAGATCGTGAAATATGTCCTGTAGGAAGTTCTGAAAGGTGGCCTGTGCATTACACAACCCATCCCTTAGGACTGTGCTCTCAAAACTGCCATATCTTGTTTGTAAGGCAGCTTTATGTTCATCTCCTTCCTTTATTCTAACTAACTGGTAAGCTCCTTTCAAGTCGAGTTTGGTGAATATCTTTCCTAATTGAAGTCAATCGAGTAGTGTCGAGATGAGTGGCATTGAATATGAATCCTTGACGGGTACCTTGTTAAGCGCCCGGTAATCTGTTACCACTCGATAGGGAATTACCCCCTTTTTGGGGGACCAGGAATACAGGAGATCCATAAGGCAATTTACTTCTTCGTAAATGGCCGCTGGCCAAACCGTCATTGATCCACTGCTTCAGGAATGCGTCCCCATGTTCATCTAGTTGGTAAATTGGGCCTGGTTTTAATTCTGCTCCGGGTATTAATTTGATCTTGTGATCACATTCTCTTTTTGGTGGTAGTTTTCCTGCCCGTTCCACCTTAAATAGCTTCAGGTACTTGTGTCATCGTGTTGGTATGACTTGTCATAATTCCTCTTTGCTCATTTCATCTTCCCCTTTCTCCAGTGCCGTTCCTCTTACCAAGCCTTCCTCCAGTCTTGGATACTTCCAACCTTTATCTCGTCCAATTCTGTCGCACTCGATCAGTCCCTTTACACAATCGATCCTTGCTCTGAACTGTATCAAGAAATGCAATCCCACTAGTACCTCAGGGCTTCGTAGGCCATCACATCTAATTGAGTCACAACCTTGAGTCCCTTTCCCAAATCCAATTTAGCTTCTACATATTCGGTTACTAATGTCGCGGTTGTTCCATCAAGGAATCTGATTTTTTGTGGTTCCTGGTATCGTCTCTTTGGGAATAAGTGGTATAATGGACAGGCCGGCTGCACATATCTTCCGGTAGCCCCGGTATCGATTAACATTCCAATCTGTAGGGTATCTTCTTTTGTCTGTATCTTTATATATATGATTGCCGAGTCATTACTAAGATCTATTGGTAGTTGGATTCTGTGCGATTTTGTTAAATCCTGGCCGCAAGGGGTCGCATCACTTAGACCAGGTAGTCGTTTCCCTCTTCCTCAAAGGTCACTGCCATTCTCGGACCAACAGCCCTTTTGATCCAGTTGGAATCGAGTTTGATCCACTAGGAATAGGTGATCCCTGAGGGTTTGGGGATCCTCTAATATTGTTTCTTGCATTTCCTCCGTTTGGGCAATTATTGGCATAATGTTCTGGACTCCTACATTTGAGACATCTTCGGTTCTCCCTTCTCCAGTTCATTTTGTTCTCACTGAGTCGTCCCCCATCCTCTGTCCAAGTAACCGGAGGGTTGTTTGGTAACCCAAAGTTTGTCATTCCTGGCTTTCCACTCGGTAGTAATCCTCCAGCGGTTGAATGCAAGATCCGTTTCACAGGGTCTGGGGAATTGGTATCCAATTGCACCAAATTCGATTGTGGTGGTACCCAAGTGTCTCATTTTTTTGCCTAGCCGCCCATCGGTTGGCTGCAATCATTGTTTCGGCCATGCATTGGTTCTCCTTGGTACCTATCACATGTTGTTTGAAATAGATCCAATCCGATTTAGTTCGAGGGTCAGTGTTGTTTACCACCACTACTTTCAATAGTTCCTCCTTTAGTCCTTGTATGGCTGATGTAATTTTCATTGCATCTGGTACCTTTCCCAGATGTGTGGACCACAGTTTGAAATTCACAAAGTATTCTGCCGCCGTATCAGTCTGTCGTAATTCTTACAATTTCCGCATAGCAGTACCTGCCATATTACTGTCCCCAAATTGAGTTTGTAAGTGTTGAATGAATTTGTCATATGTCTCTAGCCACTTCGTCAAATTCCATATACTTGGGTTGGTTATGGTCGGGGTTAGGAGCATTTGAGGGATACCCTGTAGATAACCGTACATAGGATCTTCCTTCGATCGGTGGCCTACTCGGCCCCTTTGAATTCAAAGTTCATAAGGCAAGCTGCCAAGAAGTTGTCCAATTCCCCTCGTTCTCCACTGAAGGTTGGTGGATCTGCACATCTAGTCCTTCCTACTTGTTTGTTGCTGGTGAGTCTCTGTTCCAAACGCGGTTTGTTTTCCTTGAATTTGAATGAATTTGCCCCTTTTGAGGTGGGTAGCTGTTGGTTCTGTTGGTCAGCCTTCATCATAGCCAGTTCTTCCCTTAATGCATTCTGTTCCTTTTGTTGCATTGTCATAATGGCTAAAAGTTGTGACAACTGCTGCGATAATTCATTCAGCGGGTCTGGGGCAGGAGTGTTAGGAGTGAGATCATGTGAAATGGTACTTCTCAAAGAACTTGTTGGTATTTCTACCTCTGGGACCAGTCCTTGTTCCAAATCCTCCCCTTCAGGTATTATTTTCCGCGCTTTTCCTCTGGCAAGCATGCAATCCTTTCCACTTCAACCCAAGGCGCGTGAGGCTGATTCTTCAACTTGTAACGGTACTGGAAACACAATGACTAAGTCACAGGTTGGGTCGAACTCGATGGAAGTCTCGTAGAAGTCTAGGGGTCTCTGGTGCTAATTGATTGTGTCTCCTCTGCAATCGATGTAGCCAAAGAATGATATTGAAGAATCAGCAAAGTTGGTACTTTGCTGATTGTACTATATACTGTCTATGGTATCCTCGTCCTCGTCCTCTCCCTGCTGCAAGTGTCTACGTACATACTTGGACAGGTGAGAAACCGCTTTTGAGCAAACCCAGTGGGGAAATCTCGAAAAGGGGAAAACCCGTCCCTACCTAATGCAGCCTGCCTCCAACTCCCGCTTTCCTCCATCCTAATCCGTTGAACTCGATAGGGTTCTCTCAATTTGTTGTTACCCCGTAACAGTAAGCTTCACCAAATGTAGCACCCTTGGACCACCCTCTGTCACGGCCGTCGAACAACTATCTTCTGGCAGACCGACGGTCGACGAACCTCGGTTAACTTGACGCTCCTGAGTCGATGTCTCACCCAACCGGGAGGGCGCAGACGTCGAAAGGAGTGTAACTACGGCGTACTTCGGCGTAGTTACTCTAACTGGTGTTTTGTTCTACTGATGGCAATGTATCTCGAATTGTATATAGCTATCTCTATCTGTTTTTCACTACTGACAACAATCAAGGATCGCTGAAGAACTTCAGCGATCTTCTCAGCTAATATTGTTTATTCCTCCTAGACGTTCATCCAACCCTCTCGCGCTTTGACGTACTTCAACGCACTTCGTCCAACTTCCCCGAGTCCTCGGCCATCCTCTTCCTCCTTCGACTAACTCCGCCTAACATCGCCGCACTTCTGCTTCCGTTGTCCCTACCTAGCCTAACTCCGTCTAACTTTGCCGTACTTCTGCTCCCATTGTCCCTACCTAGCCTAACTCCGTCAAACTTCGCCGTACTTCTGCTTCCATTGTCCCTACCTAGCCTAACTCCGTCTAACTTCGCCATACTTGGTTTTCAGATGTCCTGAGTTACGTGTAGAGTAAAAGGGTTAAGGCGTGACAGGGGTTTTGATGGTCAAAGGAGGGTCATTGTTGGTGGAATAATCGAGGTGGTGGAATAATCAAGGTGTCACGACGTAGTTCGTGACAGTCGCCCCCTTCTTTAGCCGCGAACGTCCTTGTGAGCGTTAACACCTGCACTGTGGCAAGAAAACTTAGCAGTGTGGTACCCCCATTCTCTACTTCTCCATAGTTATCCTTTGCCCTTCTGCTCTTTGCGCCGCACTTCGCAGTTGAGCCTCCTTTCACTCCAAAACCCGACAATGAGACTCCCCTAACTTCGTCAAGGATTGCCGTAAGAAGCCCTGTGTAACGGTACTGGAAACACGACGACTAGGTCGCAGGTTGGGTCGAACTCGATGGATGTCTCGTGGAAATCTAGGGGCTCTGGTGCTAATGGATCGTGTCTCCTCTGCAATCGATGTAGCCAAAGAATGATATTGAAGAATCAGCAAAGTTGGTACTTTGCTGATTGTACTATATACTGTCTACGGCGCTATCCTTGTCCTCGTCTCCTTCCTGCTGCAAGCGTCTACGTACATACTTGGACAGGTGAAAAACCGCTTTGAGCAAACCCAGTGGGGAAAATCTCGAAAGGGGAAAACCCGTCCCTACCTACTGCAGCACTGCCTCCAACTCCTGCTTTCCTCCATCCTAATCCGTCGAACTCGATAGAGTTCCCTCGATTCGTTGTTACCCCGTAACACCCTGTGTCTTTTGTAGGTGAGACACGCTTCCCGGATGGTAACCGAACAACACCGTCGTTTGCCGAAGTAACCCTCGCTTATATTGAGATGAGACACTATAGCGTGGGAATTTTGATCGTCCCTGCGCTGTCTTTTGTTGATGAAACGCGAAGTTTGCTGCATCTTGACGACGAAGGGGGTAGGTCTGATCATACTAAATATTGAGCAGTTCTGTCACGAACTACGTCGCGACACCTCGATTACTCCACCAACAATGACCCTCCTTTGGCCATCAAAACCCCATCACGCCTTAACCTCTTTACTCTACACGTAACTCAGGACTTCTGACACCAAGTACGGCGAAGTTAGACGGAGTCAGGCTAAGTAGGGACAATGGGAGCAGAAGTACGGCGAAGTTAGACGGAGTTAGGCTAAGTAGGGACAATGGGAGCAGAAGTACGGCGATGTTAGGCAGAGTTAGGCTAAGTAGGGACAATGGGAGCAGAAGTACGGCGAAGTTAGACGGAGTTAGGCTAAGTAGGGACAATGGGAGCAGAAGTGCGGCGATGTTAGGCGGAGTTAGTCGAAGGAGGAAGAGGATGGCCGAGGGCTCAGTGAAGTTGGACGAAGTGCGTTGAAGTACGTCAAAGCGCGAGAGGGTTGGATGAACGTCTAGGAGGAGTAGATAATATTAGCTGAGAAGATCGCTGAAGTTCTTCAGCGATCCTTGATTGTTGTCAGTAGTGAAAAACAGATAGAGATAGCTATATACAATTCGAGATACATCGCCATCAGTAGAACAAAACCCCAGTTAGAGTAACTACGCCGAAGTACGCCGTAGTTACACTCCTTTCGACGTCTGCGCCCTCTCGATTGGGTGAGACTTCGACTCAGGAGCATCAAGTTAGCCGAGGTTCGTCGACCGTCGGTCTGCCAGAAGATAGTTGTTCGACGCCCGTGACAAGTTCGTTGAGCTTCTCTCTTTTCCCCATCTGCTTTCAAAACTTCTTACCTCTCTTACCTAGAAAACAGATTTGTTACCTTGGAAAATCATCTCGAGATTTAATTTCTCTTTTAACTATCTTAACGTCATGGCTCCCTCTACTCCCACTCCCAACTCTTTCGCCGCCATGAGGAACTTCGGCGGTATGGTGTCATCTGCTCGTGAGTTTTATCGATACTGACCTCACCTCGCCGAACTTGGCTGATGTTCAGTTTCTTTCGGCGACAGATCTCGCCAAGTCTCCTCCCTTGGCCTCGGCACTCTCTCTCTGGGGGAGCCGTCTGGCGCTGCCTCGCCTCCTCGTTCCGCTTCTCCTTCCCCTGGTTCTCCCTCCCCCGTGTCTGGTCCTCCCGGCCCTCGCCGCAGGACGCCCGCCTTTCGTCCTGGTGAGTCTCCGTCCTCGTCCGACCAGGACCCGCTCAGTGGGGGCTCGGAGTCGAGTGATGGGTCCGACACCGAAGAAAGTGAGGATGATGAAGATCGGGAGCGTAGGATTGATAGTGAGGGCGAAAGCGAGTTAGAGGAATACCCGGATGATGATGTGGAGGTGATTAGTGTAGAGGACAACGACGTAGATAGTTCTGAGCGTGAGTCCTTCGTCCACCCTCTCACACCTTCACCGAACTTGGCCTTGTTTATCTGTTCTTTAGTTCTCCAAGACATTGCTAACTCGCAGCCGTTCAAGTCTCCCCCCCTGCCCAAGTCGGGGGCCAGAAACGACGCCGTTCTCTCTCCTCTTCTTCCTCTTCTTCTTCCTCCTCTTCCGGGATTCTCCCCCCCGCCGACGCCATCGCCGCTGCTGCCGTCGACCACCCTGCCGTCGCCGCCGCCGTTGCTGCTCCCCCTCCTTCTCCCAGAGGGGAGCCTTCGCCCAAACGGGTGAAGAGATCATTGCGGGAGGAAGAGTATTTGTGGGAGAAGATGAAATCCGAGCCTGGACGTTGGGTCGCGGTTGGTGTTGATGAAGCGTGTGATCGTTGTCGGTGAGTCCATCTTTTTGTACTACGCCGAAGTTACTCCTGCTAATTAGTAGACGTGAGATTATCACGTATAATCGTCCAAACTGGCCCTGCCTCAAGGCAGTCAGGCCACACAACAAAGCCCTCCGTTGTGCCTCATGCACATCTGGTCCCTGCTCCTTCTGTCCCGTCTCGTCTGCTCGGGACATCCCGCCCCGTCCCTCCGACGCTTCTCCTTTCCCCCCTCCCCAGACCCCAGCGTCTGTTCCCCGCTCGCGGGTACCATCTTCGTCTCTCCGGTCGGTTCGCCGAACTTCGCCGTCCTCCCGCTCGTTGCCTCCCTCGCCGTCGCCTTTCGCTCCTGTGGCCGGCCCATCACGTCTCCCGGCTGCTCCTCCGTCGGCCTCCCGTCGCCCTTCGGCCCCTCGTCCGTCCTCTCCCGTGGCACCTTCTCCTCCGGCCCACGGCACCCGAAGTCGTCGTCCCTCTGCTCCTCCTGCCACCCCAGCGGCAGCTCCTGTTACTCCTCCCGCTGCCTCCCAGAAGACTCCAAAGTCTTCTTTAAAGAAATCGAAAGGGAAAGGTAAAGAGAAAGAGGTTGTCTTTGATGACGATGATATGGAAGGTGAAGATACTCAGCGTGCTGGTCCCTCCGCTCCCCGAACGTCCTTCATCCACCCTCGTATTTCTCTGGACGTTCGTATTCCCGAGGACGAAAAGGAATTCACCACTTATCGTTCTCTCGTCCTTGGCCTCACCACTCAGCTCGAGGCCAGCCCGACACGATACATCTCTCTTGCTTGACTTCTCTTCTCGTCAAGCTAACGCTTTAAATAATCTTACTGCGGCGTTAGTAGATGTAGTCAACACTGGGACTCTGGATGAGGAAGCAAGGACGAGGTTAGCGGACGTTTCTCGTCGAAGCCTTACTGAGATAGCCGATGTTCGCCAAAGGCTTTACGACACCCCCTTCCTTGTTACTCCCTTGGCGTATGAGCCACCACCGGCCATCGGCTGGTTAGGACGCCCCAGTAGTTCTCGTGTCCCCGCCGCCGCCCAGACTGCTCTCGACCTCCTCAGTCTTCCCTTTGAGTGTCTTCGGACCATACGTTCTCTGTGGCGGACTCCGAGCATGCAAGCTGCTCGTGATGTCCAGGACTTCGGTGATTTCTTTGGGGCTATGAACAGGGCCTGGAATGCTCCCCTCTCTACCGCCTTCCCCCCTGACAGTCTCGATCTACCTTCCGTCATCGGTAGTCTCCACACCAATCCCGCGGGACCGAGTAGAACGAAGGAGAAAGGAAAGGGAAAGGGTAAAGAGAAAGAGAAGTGAGCGGTACGTAGCTGTAATCCTATGTTGTATGCAGTACGTTCTACCTCCTAGCCCTCCGCCGTCGCCCTTCCTTCGGTTTAGTAGGATGAAGTTCGTGGAACTTCGCCAATATGTCATCAGCTCCATCGACGTTCTCTACCGGTTCCCATGATACCGAATCGTCTGTTCCTTCGTAACCTAACCACTCTACTAGGTACTCTAACTTTCCTGACCTCTTATTTACTCTAGAGTCCACGATGTCTTTTACTTCCCACGATTCTCCTACGTCATCTACCTCTACCGGGCCAGGTGGTTCAGCTTGCTGACCAGGGAATACTGGAGGATGATAGGGGCGAAGCAATGAAACATGGAATACATCATGGATACCTGCCATCGTTCCTGGTAACTCTAATTTACAAGCATGAGAACCTACCTGCCGTACTACCTTGTACGGCCCACTTTGCTTAACATCTAACTTCTTCATTGGTCTTTTAGTCTTGATGCTCTCTAATGACAGCATCACTAGGTCACCTTCCACAAAGCTCGGCGTAGTTCGGTGTTTCCTATTATATCCTTCGGCGTACTTCTCATTAGCCTTCTCAATCCCCTCAATACATTCCTTATGTATTTCGGTTAGGTCTTTTACTGCTATTGTAGCAGCAGGTACTTCGACTTCACTAGCCTTAATCTCCTCAGCCCATCGAGGGTGGTACCCATAGTTCGCGTAGAATGGGGTCTTGTTTATCGCGGAGTGATGGGTGTTGTTGTAAGCAAAGCTAGCTCGAGCAAGCATCTTCGACCAGTCGTTCTGCTGGTAGGAAGTGAAGATTCGAAGGTATAATTCCAGGGACTGGTTGGTTCGCTCGGTCTGTCCATCAGTCTGTGGATGATACGCAGTAGAAAGATGTAGTCTTATGCCGAGACTATCGGTCAAGTTCTTCCAAAACTTCGAAGTAAACTTCGATCCTCTGTCCGATACTATACTCTCTGGTAACCCATGCTGGGCCACCACATAGTCCATTACCAGCTCCGATAGTCCAGCTGCGGTTAACTTCGTTGTGGTTGGGATAAAAATGGCCCATTTGGTCAATCGGTCCACCACTACCAGGATGGAATTATTTCCATGGGAATTCGGAAGCTCTTCGATGAAATCCATCGAGATGCTTGACCAGGGTTTAGTAGCCACTTGCAATGGTTTAAGCTCTCCATGGGGTTTCTGTCTGTTAGTCTTTGCTCTCTGACATACCGCACAAGCAGCGATGTAGTCCTCAACATCTTTTCTCACTCCAACCCAAACATAATCCCTTAGGACCAGTTCAAGAGTCTTCGCCGAACCTGGGTGGCCAGCCAATGCCGAGTCATGTCGCATCTTCATGATCTTTAGTCAAGCGTCGGCGTAGTTCGGCACATAAGTACGATCGTCAAATGTGAGGAAACCCCTTGGGGTCCACCCCCCACGAAGTATTAGAGGGGACCGCGAACTACGGCGTAGTTCGGTGATGAATTCTGGTTCCTGCACGTCATCGTGACACGTTGGATGAGAACACTCAGCGCAAATGACTCCTAATAACTCTTTCCTAACCTCCTCCACTTCTTCATCTTCCTGTATACCAACAATCAGATCCATGGGATCAATAAGGTCATCCTCTTTTACTTCCTTTGTCCCTTGCAAAGCACGAAGTAGGTGTTGTAACCCAGAGCTAGTGCCGTCGAGTTCGTCGAACTTCGGCAACCCTTGAATAAGGTTGCTCTCCTGCACCATAGTACTTCCTTTTCCAGAGTGGTAGTCTGCTCTTCTCGATAGTCCATCCGGCAGTGTAGGTTGTTTCCCAGGTCGATACACCATCTTAAACCTAAAGTTAGAAAGCTCTTCGACCCACCTGCCCTGCCTCGGGCTTAACTGCTTCGGTTCCATCCAGTATGTCAAGTTCAAGTGGTCCGTGAGAACTGTAGTCTCTACCTGTAACAGTAAGTGTCTCCTTCTTCTAAAAGCCTCAACGATAGCTAGTAGTTCCTTCTCGCCTACCGTATAGTTTAACTGCGCCGCTTGAAACGCTCCTAACTCGATAGCTACCGGATGTTCTTGTCCTAACTCGTTCACCTGCGATATTATGAAGCCCCACCCGAAGAACGAGGCATCTGTCTGTAGTAATGTCTTCAACGAAGGATCAAAGTGAGCCAATACCTGGGCCCTACACATTCTATCCTTCAACTCTTTAAAAGCTCTTTCCTGCTCCATACCCCAGACAAACGGTACATCCTTTCTTGTGAGATCATTGATCGGTTTAGCAATCCTGGAGAAGTTGGGGACAAAGCGCCGATAATAACTAACGACTCCCATAAATCCTCTGCTCTCTCTTAGGTTCTTGGGACGGGGAAAAGACACAACAGCGTCGATGTACTCTGGATTACTAGAAACTCCCTCCCGTGAGACCACAAAACCCAAGAAGACTACCGTATCCTTTTCAAACTCGCACTTACTAGCCTTGACGAACAGGTTCGACCTCCGAAGAACTTCGAACACCTTCGCCGTAGTTCCTCTCAATTCTTCCAACGTCTGACCATAGATGAGTATATCATCTATGTAGACAACCACTCCCTTCCCCAACAGTTCTCTGAAGCTTTCATTTAGAAAATGCTGGAATACAGCAGGAGCATTTCGCAGACCATCTCGAACAACAAGAGACTCGAACATACCGTACTGAGTCCTGAACGCCGTCAGGTGCTCGTGTCCTTCCTTTACCCGTAGGAGTTGATAAGCTCCAATCAGATCTAACTTGCTGAAATACCTCGCTTTTCCCAGCTCTTTGGTTATCTGACCGATCAGAGGCAGTGGATAGGCATTGGGTATCGTTGCTTCGTTTAACGTTCGGTAGTCAATGACCATTCGCCATTGACCCTTTGCTTTCTGTAACGGTACTGGAAACACGACGACTAGGTCGCAGGTTGGGTCGAACTCGATAGAGGTCTCGTGGAAATCTAGGGGCTCTGGTGCTAATGGATCGTGTCTCCTCTGCAATCGATGTAGCCAAAGAATGATATTGAAGAATCAGCAAAGTTGGTACTTTGCTGATTGTACTATATACTGTCTACGGATATCCTCGCCCTTTGTCCTCTTCCTGCTGCAAGCGTCTACGTACGTACATACTCGGACAGGTGAAAAACCGCTTTGAGCAAACCCAGTGGGGAAATCTCGAAAGGGGAAAACCCGTCCCTACCTACTGCAGCACTGCCTCCAACTCCCGCTTTCCTCTGTCCTAATCCGTCGAACTCGATAGAGTCCTCTCGATTCGTTGTTACCCCGTAACAAGTTTCCCCCCCTGTCTCAAGGATCCTCGCCGAGGATCCTGAACCCTGTAACCAGGTGATGCACATGGATTGTTCTTAGACACCTTTGGTGCGCCCTGACATCATACCCACGCTAGTGTGACGGTTGCCATGAAAACGCGTCACCCGCATGGACCTCCAATGTGATCGAGAAATTACTGACCAAGTTACCTCCCCGTCTTCTTTCTCTTCTTTCCTCCTCATTCTCTCTTTACCTCTTGTTTGTCGTTCTTCTTACTTATCTATCATCATCCATCCATATCTTACTCATATCTTAGAGTATCCTTCCAACTCTGACCTGTCTGTGAGCATGTCTAAGCGTACTGTAAGCAATTCCCTTCGAATTCGATGTATATCCTCCTATCTCTCACTGGCTGACGAGATTAGTTGTCTCCTTCCACCTCCTCCCGTCAAACTCGAGCTTCTACCTTGGCAATCCTGCCTGACGTCGACCCCGAACTCCTCATGCGTAAAACGAAAAGAATGAGAATTACGTCTGAAGCCGCTTCCTCTCAACCCCCATTGGTTGATGCGTCTCGACGAGCTCTCGACACCATTAAGGAGAAGTATCAATCCGGTCCTTCTCGCGAAGCACAATCGCTCCTTGATGACCATGTCATCGAGCAATATTTCGACTTCGAAGGGGGTGCTGGGCCATCTGCCACTGGTGAGAACCTATCTCCCGCCAAATCCGTCGACTCCGAACACCCTACCGTCGTCGAAAATGAAAATTCTCCCGGTAAGCAACCCACTGGTCCTCCTTCTGAGGCTTCCGACGAACTTGTGGAGGTTCCCGAAGAACTTGGTGACATCTTTCACGCCCCTCGCAAGGTTACCGTCAACCAGGAACTGGTTAAGTTGCTCGAGGATCGAAAAGACTCCGAAATCGGTGAGAATTCCACCGAGTTCTGTTTGCTTCTGACTTGTTAGCTACCCTTTGGGCCAGCATGACCTTCCCCTCTGTTCGTCTCGCGTTGAAGAACGAAGCTCTGGACCGTTTCCGCGAAACCAACGCCATCAAGCCCACTGTAAAGTGGTTTAAGAATGCTGTAAGTCTCGAATTCTTTCAAGTTCTAACTTCGCCGTACTTGGTGTCAGAAGTCCTGAGTTACGTGTAGAGTAAAGAGGTTAAGGCGTGATGGGGTTTTGATGGCCAAAGGAGGGTCATTGTTGGTGGAGTAATCGAGGTGTCACGACGTAGTTCGTGACAATTGGCCCTCGTAAGTTCTTGCTGCGACTCGTTCAATGTTGATGCAATTCAGTCGGTGGTGTGTGTGGTGAATGCTCTGCTAAGGGTACTTCAAAATGTTCGGTGAAGACCAACAACCCTGAGTCCAAATTCCGTGAGGTACCTGTCTATTTCCTTCGAACTTGGTCGATGTTGATGTATAGGGTATTGTTGTGGGAGCAAGAACGGTCACTTCCAAGGTTACTTTTGTCCTGGAGCACGAGCTTTGTGCGGCTTCGGTCCGCTATCGATCCCTTCCTGCCCATGATCAACCCGCCTGTCTGACCCAACTTTCGGGTTACATCCATCTCTTTACCTCCCTTCTCCTTCCTCTCCCCTCTCAACATCTGGATCTTTACAAATCCCTTCATCTTATTTCCGCCAACTATGCTCCTCCTTCCGCCGATGAAACTCTGGATCATCTTACTTCTACTGGTGATCCTACAGGATTGAGTTCCTCTCAGCCAATCGCTGGTCCCTCCTCTTCTCCCCATACTCCTCTCCCTCGCAATGTCATTCGTATTCCCGCTTCGGCCCGTCGTCCCCGAGCCAATTCTACCACCTCCAACTTTTAGTGTGTTTATATCTCTCTATTTGTAGCTATATTTCCTGTGTATGCATTCATTTCTGACCCAGTTTTGTTGATCTTGATCGAATTCTCACTTTCTTCTGGGGTCCCTCTTCCTCTTTTCCAAAAATTCACCAAAAACGGCCAACTCTTCCACATTTTCTCGTGGTTCCCAGTCATAGGCCGCATTTCCTGTGTATCCTAACCATTTTACCTTGAATTCTTCCTTCCCTCGTCGAATTCTGCTATCCACAATTGCTTCCACATGGAATTCTTCCTGGCCATTTATTACTACGGGTGGTGGGGGTTGTATCTGTCGACCTGGTATCATGTCCTTAGGATATGGTTCCAACAGCGTGGCATTGAAGACATTGTGTACTTTCATCGATGGAGGTAGATCTAATTCGAAAGCATTTTTTCCAACTTTCCTTATGATCTTGAAGGGGCCAATGTATTTTGCTTCTAGTTTTCGACTGGGTCGTTCCGTCGTAAGATACTTCGTACTCAGTAGTACCTGTTCTCCCTTTCTGAATTCTTCTGGTATGGTCTTGTGTCTCCTGTTGTAGTACTCTGCACTAATCTCATTAGCCATCCTGACCTGTTCTTGGACAGTCGCATGTAATTCTCCCATATCTCTCCATTTCTTCTCCAATTTGTTTGACTTCGATCGAATGTCGTGCGAATGGATGTCGTAGTGTGGCACATAGCCGTAACAGGCTTCAAAGGGACACAGACCGTGGCTACTATGTGGCGAACAGTTATAAGCGAACTCAGCAATTGGTAGAAGTTGATCCCAATTGTCCATGTTGTAGTTTACATACATTCCGAGCAGGATTTCCATCTGTTGATTTACTCGCTCAGTTTGTCCATCTGTTTGAGGGTGATACGCAGTCGAGTATAAGTTTTTTATTCCCAGGAACTGACATATTTCCTTCCAAATTTCCGCTGTAAACTGAGTTCCCCTATCTGATACAATTGTTCGAGGTACTCCATGTTTTGAAAAGATCTCCTTGATGTAGATGTCGGCCACTTTGTTCGCTGTTAGTCCAGTTGTACATGGAATAAATCTAGCCATCTTGGTTAGTCGATCGACTATCACTAGTATCGCGTCAAACTCGGTCGATTTTGGTAGGGGTCCCACCATATCCATAGAGATATCTGTCCACGGGAGTGTGGGTACTGGCAAAGAGACTAGATGTCCATACGGTTGATGTCGATGAGTCTTATGTCGGTTACAGATCTCACATCCTTTTACGTACTTCGCAATATACTCGTCCAAATGTGGCCAGTAATAATCCTCTTTGACTAAGGTGATGGTTTTATCTCTTCCTGGGTGTCCTATTAATATCGAATCGTGTCTTGTTTTCATTACTTCTAATCTTGCTTGTCCTTCTGGTATGACTACTCTGTTTTTGTACAAGAGTAATCCGCTTTGTGTCCAAGATACTATTGGTGTCTCGTTGCTAATCTGTGTCTTCTGTGTGTCCTGTGTGCTCTGTGTGTCCTGTGTGCTATGTATCTGTGTCATTTGTAGTCCTAGTCGTCGTATGTTTGCTATGTCTTCTGAGTCTTTTAGTCCGTTCTTGATGAGTCCGAATAATGAGTCTTCTCGGATTGCTCCTCTTACTATGTGTCTTGGCCCTTTGTGTTCTGAGTCCATTGAATTCGATCCAACTTGTTCGTGTGTCGGTAGCAATTGTAGCCAGTTGCCTTTGTTTAGATCCGGGTCCTTGCTACTTCCTTTTCCCGGATGATAATCTCCTCGTCTTGTCAGAGCATCTGCTCCCCCATTTTTGCTACCTGGTCGGTAAGTGATCTCTATGTTGAAGTCTCCCAATATTTCCAACCATCTCATTTGCCTTCGATTTAGTTGTCGCTTGCTTTGGAAGTACTCTAAGTTCTTGTGATCTGTAATGATTTTTATAACATCACTACTGTTAGCCAAGTAGGGCCTCCAGGCGACCAGGCAGTCCACGATGGCTAGTAATTCTTTCTCTCCTACCGTGTAGTTTAGTTCACAGGGTGTCATTGCTCGAGACCAATACGCAACGGGGTGAAGTTCGGTGGTTCCCCTTATTGATGGGTGAGGGAATCTTTGAGACGCTATCGCACCTATCGCGCAGTCGGATCCATCGGTTTCGATCCAAGTCGGTCGGGTTCTATCAAAATGTCGAAGTACCGGTGCTGTGGTGAATGTTTTCTTTAGATCGTCAAAAGCCTTTTGGCATTCTTGTGTCCAGTTCCAAGCCTGATCCTTCCTGGTCAATCGTGTGAGAGGTCCCACAATATGCGAAAACCCCTTGATAAACCTCCGATAGAAATTTGCAAAGCCCAAGAACACTTGAGTATCCCGGACTGTCATGGGTTCTCCCCATTCTAGAATAGCTTTCACCTTTTCTTGATCCATTTCGATCCGTTCGTGTCCTATTACATACCCCAGGAACTTCACTTCATTTGAACTCCATTCGCATTTCCTCGGACTGACGACCAAATCGTTTTCAAGTAGTCGATCTAACACCTTTTGGACAATTATCTGATGGTTTTCGATCGTGTCGGAGTATACCGTGATGTCGTCGATATAAACTACTACCCCTTCGTCAAGTAGATCGTGAAACATGTCTTGTAGAAAGTTCTGAAAGGTGGCTGGTGCATTACACAACCCATCCCTTAGGACTGTGCTCTCGAAACTGCCGTATCTTGTTCGTAAGGCAGCTTTATGTTCATCTCCTTCCTTTATTCTGACTAACTGGTAAGCCCCTTTCAAATCGAGTTTAGTGAAGATCCTTCCTAATTGAAGTCGATCGAGTAAGGTCGAGATAAGTGGCATTGGGTATGAATCCTTGATGGTTACCTTGTTAAGTGCCCGGTAATCTGTAACTACTCGATAGGGAATGACTCCTTTCTTGGGGACCAGGAATACTGGGGACCCATAGGGCGATTTACTTCTTCGCAAATGTCCACTAGTCAGTCCATCATTGATCCACTGCTTCAGGAAAGCATCCCCATGCTCGTCCAGTTGGTAGATTGGTCCTGGTTTCAGTTCAGCCCCTGATACTAATTCGATTTCGTGGTCACATTCTCTTCTTGGTGGTAGTCTTCTTGCTCTTTCTACCTTGAATAATTCGAGGTACTGGTGCCATTGTGTCGGTATGATTTGTCGTAGTTCCTCCTCACTCATTTCGTCCTCCCCTTTCTCCAGTGTTGCTCCTCTTATTAATCCTTCTTCTAATCTTGGGTATTTCCAACCAGTATCTCGTTCAATTCCGTCGAATTCGATCAGTCCCTTTCCACAATCGATCCTTGCCCTAAACTGTCTCAAGAAATCTAGTCCTACTAGTACTTCTGGTCCTTCGTATGCCATAACATCCAGTCGAGTTGCAATCCTGAGTCCTTTTCCTAGATCTAATTCTGCTTCTACATATTCGGTCACTAAGGTCGCGGTAGTTCCATCCAGGAACCTAATTTTTCGTGGTACCTGATATTGTTTCTTTGGGAATAGATGGTATAATGGACAGGCCGGCTGCACATACCTTCCTGTAGCCCCGGTATCGATTAACATTCCCATCTGTAGGGTATCTTTCTTTGTTTGTATTTTTATATAGATTATGGCCGAGTCATTACTGAGATCTATTGGTATTTGAATTCTCTGCGATCCGGGCAGATCCTGGCCGCAAGTGGTCGCATCACTTAGGCCAGGTAGTCGTTTCCCTCTTCTTCAAAGGTCACCGCCATTCGTCGAACTAATGGCCCTTTGGATCCAGTTGGGATCGAGTTCGATCCACTAGGAATCGGTGAGCTATGCGGGTTTGGGGATCCCCTAATGTTGTTTCTCGTATTTCCTCCATTTGGACAGTTGTTGGCGTAATGTTCTGGACTTCTACATTTGAGACAACGTCGGTTCTCCCTCCTCCAAGTCATTTCGTTCTCGCTGAGACGTCCTCCGTCCTCTGTCCAAGTGACCGGAGGGTCATTTGGTAGACCATAATTCATCATCCCTGGTTTTCCACCGGGCAAGGGTCCTCTACCAGTCGATTGTGAGTGGCGTTCTACCGGGTTGGGCAAACTAGTATCCAATCGCATCGAATTCGATCGAGGGGGAAGCCAGGTCGTCTCATGTTTGCGTCTAGCAGCCCATCGATTCGCTGCAATCATCGTTTCAGCCATCCGTTGGTTCTCCTCAGTCCCTATCACATGCTGTTTGAAATAGATCCAGTCCGATTTGGTTCGAGGGTCGGTGTTATTTACCACTACCACCTTCAGTAGCTCTTCCTTCAGGCCCTGTATGGCTGAGGCGATTTTCATTGCATCTGGTACCTTTCCAAGGTGTGTGGACCAAAGTTCAAAGTTGGCAAAATACTCGGCGGCCGTATCCGTCTGTCTTAACTCCTGCAATTTCCTCATAGCCGTACCTGCCATGTTACTGTCTCCAAATTGAGTTCGTAAATGCTGGATGAATTTGTCGTAGCTCTCTAGCCATTCGGTCGAATTCCATATACTTGGATTGGTTATGGCCGGGGTTATAAGCATTTGAGGGGTGCCTCGAAGATACCCGTACATGAACAGGATCTTTCTGCGATTGGTGGCGTACTCTGCCCCTTTGAATTCGAAGTTCATGTGACATGCTGCAAGGAAGTTGTCCAATTCTCCTCGTTCTCCACTGAAGGTAGGTGGATCCGCACACCTGGTTCTTCCTGTTCGTTCGTTGTTGGTAAGTTTTGGCTCCAAACACGGCTTGTTTTCTTCGACTTCGATCAAACTTGCCCCTTTCGATGTGAGTATCTGTTGGTTCTGTCGGTCAGCTTTCATCGTAGCCAGTTCTTCCCTTAATGCATTTTGTTCTTTCTGTTGCATCGTCATAATGGCTAACAATTGTGACAACTGCTGCGATAATTCATTTAGCGGATCTGGGGTAGTGGTAGTAGAAGTGAGATCATGTGAAATGGTACTTCTCGAAGAACTTGTTGGTATTTCTTCCTCTGGGACCAGCCCTTGTTCCAACTCCTCTTTTTCTGGTATCATTTTCCGCGCTTTCCCTCTGGTGAGCATACAGTACTCTCCGATTCGACCCAAGGTGCGTAAGGCTGATTCTTCAACTTGTAACGGTACTGGAAACACGACGACTAGGTCGCAGGTTGGGTCGAACTCGATGGAGGTCTCGTGGAAATCTAGGGGCTCTGGTGCTAATGGATCGTGTCTCCTCTGCAATCGATGTAGCCAAGAATGATATTGAAGAATCAGCAAAGTTGGTACTTTGCTGATTGTACTATATACTGTCTACAGGTATCCGTGTCCTCCTCTCAGTTCCTACTGCAAGCGTCTATGTACATACTCGGACAGGTGAAAAACCGCTTTTGAGCAAACCCAGTGGGGAAATCTCGAAAAGGGAAAACCCGTCCCTACCTACTGCAGCACTGCCTCCAACTCCCGCTTTCCTCTGTCCTAATCCGTCGAACTCGATAGAGTCCTCTCGATTCGTTGTTACCCCGTAACAGGCTGCCCTGAGGTGCACCGGACCATCTCTGAGACTTGTGTTCCAATTGGTAAGACTTCCTGAGTTTCGAGATAAAGTAGGTGCGTCTTTGAGCAGGAGGGACCTACCATCATTCATAAGCCAAGCGATACGTGTTCTTGCCATCATTGATCTTCTCTAAGTGATCGGGATGTATCAATGCTTTTCTGTCCCTCTTTGGGCCCACAGTCCAGATACCTGTCTCGACACGGGTCCCACATACGGCACACAGCATGTCACGATGTGTATGATTTATGAATGGTTCTGAAAAACATGTTCCCTCTGGGAGGTGTTTCTGACCGACATGATGTGACAGCCAGAAGGGGGCAATTGCAATGTTGTTTGCTGAGTCAAGATCAATAATGGGAAGGCTGAAATCGGTTCTTGCATATCCCGAAGTACCGGCACGGAAGTGCGCTGCTTCGGTGTCCCCCTCGTTGCTTGCGACTACCTGGCTACTTGGTCCTAAAACCATGTGATGACCTTGAGGCACTGATGATGCTAATTCGGCAGATCCAGATCCGAATGTGCCCGCGGTTGAGTGGGCTTGTGGCATTGCGTTCTCCAGTGGGATACCAACAGGCACTGTGTACCATTTCTTGTCCTCATGTATGAAGGAAACAAAGTGAGTGCTGTGAATGAGGGAAGCATGAGCCATCCAATCATCAGGACTCAAGACTAAAACACCGTCCTCTACAGGGCCTTTACACATGCCACAACCCTCTAGCGCTCCTGAGCTTCTTCGTATTAGCTGTGAAAACCGTGTTCCACTTGGTAAACATCCATGTTTGTCAAGATAGGGGATGAACCAGTCAGGCTTGGGCTGATAGTGGTCCGAGACATAAGAAAAGTCAATAGGCCCAGTGTAAGACCGATCTCTTGGCTTCAAGGAGTGACCTTGTTGGCTCCCGATCCCTGATTGGACAGGGACACCTACATTTGGGTGGAACAGGTCCCTAGGCAGAGGGAACGTTCGAGTTGCTCTGACAACACTTGACGTCGCCGGACTGGTAACCAGTGATGGGTCGAAATTGTGTCTTGCAGGGAACCAACCACCAGATGAGTTTGCTTGGGCCAAATTATGGTGAGCATTGTCACTAATTTCAGCATTGGTGCTAGTAGACATTCTGTAATTGATAGACACACACCCAAATTGTGTCAAGTCTTTAGGAAAATACTCATCTCAATCTCTTTATACTATAAAACCCTTTCCCACGCTCCATTGATAACTATTCAAGAAGCTTATGACGTCAGGATAGCCAACACTGACCTCTGTCCGTACGCCTACAGGTCTAGGCCATGATTTCGCACGACATCTTTTGATGTGTTGAAGGATGGGGGAAGGGACAGGAGAGAGTAGTGGAGTGGAGGAAGAAAGGCGGGAAAGTAAAGATCAAAATGACGGAAGGCGAGTCCCCGTCATCATGGAAGCTGTGCACGCACCGCGATCATCCTCTAGTGGACACGTCTTAGTTGACTTTGAAATACCACTTCAGACTTTCACCCATACGAGTCATCATGTGTCGAGCCAACTTTATTCCGTACCACCTTCTTCAGTCGCACCCTGGTCCCGTTTCAAAGCCGGAGTTTGTTACATAACCGGATATGTGTTCCCAGGGCTGGCTAGACTAAGTCTAAAACGCTGAGGGGGGAAAGAGCTGCATCAACGACACATACTGTACACCTGCGTTTCAAAATCCTTGTCATCGTTGGTCTGCACTGATTGTTCATAGATGAGATCACTTGATCAACGATTCTAGGGCACAAGTCCAATATTTGAGCTTATCACCCATACTTGTCCGTAGCAAAAGTGATGCATACCCCGTTCAACACCCAGAGATGTGGCACTGGTTGAAAGCTCACCAAAACGTTACCCAACACGGGCATGCCACATCCATCAGATTTGGTCGGAGTATGCATCACTTTTGATGCCTACGAGTACTTCTGGTAGGTGGAGCACATGGTCCAGATGATTGTACTGAAGAGTTTCACTAACACGTGAATACAGAATGTCCTCCAAGTTGTATTCACAGAGATGTGCTATCACCAGTCAGCTGGGTCTGAGGTCTAGAGTCTGGTGCCAAGTAGTAAGAAGACAAATGGATACATCACTTCACTGGTATGGCATAACCTCACAACTTGGAAGTAAGTCTTTGAAGGCAGACTGCGCTGACAGATGAAACATAGCATACTGTACCAAGTAAATCCGTGGTCAAACCGCCTTTTGATTTGGGTGCTTTAAGTCAAATCCAGGCCTTATTCATTGCACTTTGTATATACTTGACGTTTGTTATAGCAAGGGTTGACATTCATGAGCTTCCAGCAGGAGAAGGGAGAGCCATGGGGGGAGGTTTCTCTCCTGCCTGTAGAGCGTACCTTGCACGGCTGCCTTCTCTCACAGTAATTATGTCCGATGCATGAACCATCGTGGCAATATCGGTTTTGAGCTGGATCACCCAGACACCACTTTGTATTTCAGTTTTACAAATGGGGCATGGAAGATCAGGGTACCACTCAATGAAGAAAGTTTCAGATATCCTAGTTCCACGAGGTAACTCTGTTTTACTCTCAGAGTATTGGTACACTGGTGTGAGCCAGTCTTGAATTTTACAGCACTGGGTTATGACATTGGGTTTGATCTTTCTGTGACCCTTTGCTTTCACTCGCCAAGAGCAAAAGTTGGGGGATGTGTTGGTCGTGTCATTGTCCTTGCCTCTTTCTTGAGCTGAGAATGTCCACCCTGCCTGAGTTGATGATGCTGTTTTTGGAGCAAACATGACACAGGGCACTCCCCTCTGCATAGTTACATTGATGTCCTTGGAATGAACCATCACAGCAAAATCTTCATATGGGCTCACCAGCCAAACACCCCGGTCAACAATGGTATCACAGATGGCACAAAGCGTCTCTTTTTGATCTAAATTTTTGAAAGAAGTGGATACAAGAGTGCCAGGCGGCAACCCTTTTATAATATGGTGCGGTTTAAGCCAATTAAATTTTACGCAGTTCTCATCTACACGATTTGGGTCAAGTGCGTGTGGATTGCTCCTTGATCCCCTCCATCTTGTAGACACATCAGCTTCCTGTTCAAGACCTGACACATCTGGTTCCCATTCCATGTTTGTCAAGACTTGCAACTGCCCATCCTCCCTGAGCCCAAAATGTTCAGGATGTACAAGTGTTGCAATATCCTCATTCCACTTTACGATCCAACACGCTTCGTGAAGTGGGGTTACGCACAAGGTACAGAGTCTATCAGGGGGTACCGAGACTTCCAAATTCACGGACAATTGTGTACCCTGAGGTAGAGGTTGTTTTCCGTCGGCATAAGGCCATAGCCATGTTCCCTCTACCTTGCAGTTTTGTTCTACAGCTTCAGCTTCAAGCCCATGTAAGGTGACCGCCAATATTCTCGGTCTGAAGACCGGGGTGCGACTTAAATGACCGATTCCGGCGGACGATACTTGTAGTCGGATTCATTGTTTATTGCTTGAGGTAATACATGGGTAGATGGTAGCCACTGGGGGTCTGGAAAGTAGTCTAACTCGGAAAACTCTTTGGGCTGGGAGTGATCCTCCTCAGAGGAATGTCCATCTGACTCTTTGTATTTTATTTGATTATCTGTTTCTACAGGACGCTCATACGTTTCTGGAAAGAGAGACGGACTTCGCGCTTGGTTCCACTGTTGCGTGAAGGAAGTGTCAATCCTCAAAGTTGACATGGGAAGAGTATACGGAGTGGCAAATGTCTCAGGAGGTTGATTCAAGGTCTTTATACCATGTCTACCCCTCATACCCTCCATTGTCTGACTCTCAACCAGCCAAGAAGCCCATGAGGTAAGCCATATTTGACTATTCACCCTGTCCGTGCGCCTACAAGTCTGGATTCCCACACCGTTTCGAAGGGTGAGGGTAGATGGATCGATCGAATAGAGGGAAGTCTGAACGCCCGGACAAATAATCAAACCGACGGGTGCACGCACGGTCAAGATATTGCAATCGGCCTATCTCACCTAAATCGCCACTGAGTTCGTTGGATTTCTATCGAGAACAGGGACTATTTCACAATCATGAGATGTTGCAAGTGTTTCCGGTGCTCATCCACTTCCAGACGTATACCTCAAAGATGCGGAAGCCTTCGAAACAACTGAAACCCTTCATATGTTCAATGTTCATGACACAAGATCGATCTAATCATACATAGTTGCTCACGGCCATATAGTCACGATGACGGCTAGGTGAACATCACCGGGAAGTTCTGGCTTGCTTCCTATCCTGGTTTCACCGGCGAGCAGCCATTTCCATGTGGTCTTCTATTCCCTGATTCAATAGCTTCTGAAAGTCTCAACTATGTCTGTCAACTGGACCATATGATCAAGAATGGCTACCCGCAGGTACAGGAGTGACAATATTTCCAACCTATGCCCCAAGAGGTGTTTTGTCCCCGGGAACCTTCATTTCCCCAAAGAGATGATGCTAACCACTTGTTGTGGTTGCAATAAAGAGTTTGTGCTAGGGTAAGAATGCCTACTTTTGCTTTCTCCGTACAGGCCGGAAGTGGATCTGGCGCATGTCTCCTGCGTGAGATATATACAAACACAGAGGAGGTCGTATGCCGCAGTGCCCTCCCTGTAAGCAATCAGGACGGATTTGCCAAAGGTATGAATCCCAATGGGAAGACAAGGTGAGAGTCCGGTCGGATACGGTGGCGTACAACTTTGGTCAAGCTCTGAAGCTACAAGCTGATGGCTGTGGACTTTGTTTCTCTGCATCAAAAGTTGAAGGCAAGGGGAATTGAGGCACGGTTGTAGGTATCCTTTCCACCTCCGTTGACTCATGAACGAAGAGAGAGAGAGAGGGATGTATGGATAGCCACAAACGTTCATTCATTCCAGGTGAGAAGAGGAGAGTATGAGTGGTCGATATGTACGTTTATCATCCATCACATTCCATTATATATGTGTCAGATTTTGAAGGCAAGTGATTAGTAGTTATAAAGATACATAGATGAGGCAGTGTTGGTCAATGAAGGAGTGGCATATCAATGCAATGTCCATTTTTTGTGAATTATTGTCCTCGTTTCCTCGTGCTCGTATCATGACTTATCAAGCAATCATCATAACCGCGGTCAATATCGACACTGATTGTCAGCTTTGCTCTTCATGAGTGATAGCAATCTCACAGATGGTCAACACCAGCCACTTTTGTGTTCGTCCACAAGCACCTCCAGTCAGAGAACCAGTCCCTGAGTTTCCGCTTCCACCACTTCCGCCGGTGCTCGTTGTCACCTTACCAGTCCCAGTTGCACTACTGTGCGACGATGGAGAAGCGCCCGTGTTAACATCGTCCTGACCTCCTTGACCTCCGTTTCCTCCTTGTCCATTAGGGTCGGTTGTTCCCGTTGTTCCTGTAGACCCAGATGTTGAGGAGGTAGTCGGAGCACCGGTATCCGCCGATGACCACCAGGAAGAAGACGAAGGTGACGAAGGACTCGACGTATCGCTCCACTGGTCGCTTAATGTTGAGGGGGTAGGATTGACAGTGAGATCGCTATCACTTGCTGAGGACGTAGAGAAGATAGACGAAGTTGTTGCTGATGAGATGGTAGACCAAGAAGATGAATCAGAGGATGAGGAGAGCGATCCGGTCGATTCGACGGCCAGGTTTCCCTAAGGGTCAATATAGGATATGCCGAAGATAGAGGGAGACACTTACACTGGTACCACACAACCCCGAACCTGCGGCGGTACTGAGCGTCACCCAAATCTGGAGGTAAGTGAGCATCACCCGTGAGGTGAGAAAAGGACTCACGTATGGCTGACCGTTTTTCCAAACGATGACCAGTGATCCGTCAGCTCCCGTTTTGGCCGTCGCGCATGATAGAAGGCTGAGTGTTAGTATCTCAAAAAATCCCGCTTCCCAAACACGAAACTTACTCGATGACATTTTGTGAATTACCCAACCCAGTGTTCTTCACTGTCCAAGTACCTGTACCGGACGCCCCACGCTGCCTGGTCAGCTGAGATCAAAACAAGCCCAATCAGACTCACGTTGGTCAACACTACTAAACAGCCTGGTCGGGTCCAAGCTATGTCCTGAGTCTGCGTAGCGATCACATGAGTCGCTGTCGTCCAGAAGCTTGCGCTCTTCCTCCCCAGATGCTTGCGGATGGTGTTGAGCAAAGCGAAATTCTTGTAAGTAGCGGTAGTGGTCGAGTAACCTGTCTGCCATAAAGCCTCTCGGTTGAAGGGATCATATTTGCCTTGATTGAGTTCTTGTTCGGTTCCGTAGTAAACAGTGGGAAAACCAGCGGTGAGCATCATGCCGGTGATCATGTTAAAAGCTCTCTGAGAATCCGAGGTGAATGAGAATACACGAGCAAGATCTTGATTGTCGAGGAAAACGGATGTGGCGGTAGGGTCCGGGCAGTAGCTGTTGGTCTCGTTGATGTAGTAGAAAAGAGTGTTCATGCTCTTCGGATTGTCTCCAAAGCAACCGGTGAGACCGTACATGAGCCCTAGAAGCTTTAGCGGACTTTCGATGATATTTAGCAAGACTCTCCGCCGTCCCTAATTATCGCAGTGATCGAGAGGCGATGCGGTGAAATGTAAAGAAAAACTCACCAAAGCCTTCAACAGAATCTATCCCCTGAGAACCTTGAAAGCTGCATGCGTAATTGACGTCACTCCCATATATCTCTCCCATGCAAAGAATACCAGCGGCTTTACATAGTGCGTTCTGGAATGGAAGGCCCATATGTTTACTGGCATCTAAACGAAACCCATCGATCTGGAATTGTTTGACGTAACCAGACACCCATTGGTTGAGAACGTTGGCTACTGCCGGTGTCTCATTCGCGAGGTCCATCAGGGCCACAGCGCTGGTAGAGAGCCAACCGAACTGTTCCGAGGTGTGATTCCCATAATTTATGTTCATAGCCGGGTGATAGTTTGCCGTATTCTTGAATAACAAGGTACCTCCGTCGTCGGCAGCAAGGGCGGCAGCTGAGATATCTGTGGAAAGGGAAGCGGCGGCATTGACGGGAAGATCGACCATGAGGTACATGCCGCGTCTGTGAAGTTCGGCTGAGAGAGCTTTCAGATCATCATCGCTTCCGAATTGAGTATTGCTTTGGGTCCAATCTACTGGCCAATATCCCTGAAAAAAACATCAGCTCAAGATTGGGAGAGAAGTATGGCTCACATGATAAGGATCTCCGTACGGTGTCGGCCCTATTTGTTTCGCCGTAGGTGAAATCCACACAGCGTCAAATCCCATGCCTGTTCAAGCGTCAAAACCACAGGTTAGATCAACACAGAGTCAGAATCATACCTTGTATATAGTCGAGTTTAGCCTGGATAGCGGGATATGTACCACCGCAGTATTTCTTGGCACTGAGATCGCATGGTGGATTGTTGTTGGCAGCGAAACGGTCGGTGACAACTCTTTGAGGTCAGCTGAGAACATCTCAAGATCGGTGAGCAGGTGGAGATCGGAAAAGAGAAAAGACTGACTGATAGACAGATCGAGAACGCCAGTCGTTGGCTGTGGCAGCATAGGTAACTTGTAAGAGAGCGAGTAGGGCGAAAGAGGTGACAAGGGGTAACATGGCCGATTAAAGAGAAGTGTGGTGATGAAGAAAGAGATGGGCGGGTGAGAAGAAGAGGAAGATGAGCGTGAGAAAAAGGCGATGCTAACCATGTCCGCCCTTGCAGGCATTCACTAGTAGTCGGGGGTTGAGCCATGAGGAGAAAGGGTACAACAGAGTGAACAAGATGTACAAAGGGGGGTTGAAGCTCGTTTCACCAAGTCAAAGGAGGGGGGTTAAGGAGATCATCTCGTCAGTTTATAAGGTTGGTTGATCGATTTTCACTTTTTGTTCCGGATTGTCACTGACGATAGGCACCAGATAGCTGCATATGCCGTATGGAGCGGTGAGTACGAGTAAGCTTTGTATGGAGAGTCGAAACAGATGGACGATGAGAAGATGAGGGATACGAATGTAACATTTGAAGCAATACTCCCATCGAGTTTCATATCCCCTATGTGAACGTCTTCCAATCGTTTGCCTCTTCCCAGGCGTGTCCTATGGCGTACATGGTCCCCTCGTCGTATGCTTTCCCAACGATCTGCATCCCCACTGGCAATCTTGCCCCGTCGTTCAGAAGCGAGGGGAGGAATCCCACCGGCATGCTCAGGGCAGGCAGTCCAGTCTAAGGCATCAGCAAGTTCCCTATCCACCCTATCCTCGTGATGCTTGACACTGACCAGATTGAAAGCCGACGTGTTGAGAGACACTCCAGTCGAATTGGTCATGAGCTCCCCTACACTCGCTCCCTTTTCCGGTAGCTTTTGAGCCAGATATGGCATGGTGGGAGTGATTAGGACATCATAAGTTGCCAGAGCTTCGTTGTACGCGTCGCGCAATTTTCTCACCAAGTTGGTGGCTTTCCCGAACAACTGATGGTGAGCTGGTCCATACTGTAACGGGATCGCGCAAAAGATCATAGCTCACCCCAGGAGGAGCATGCTCCCAAGCCCAAACACCATTCATGATCGTGTTTACCCCCGAGCACCACATCTTGTCAATTTTGTCCTGAGTCAAGGGTAAAGCTTTCTCATCCAAGTCGTTCATGACGTAGCCTCGACGACCGCTAGCTTGACCCAACATGGACTTGGCTGCGCTCATCCTACCAATGACCTATAAGATCAGTCTCATAACGTTTGAAGTCAAGAGAGAATGTACGAACCGCCCATAATTCAGGAGCCGTCTTATGAAATGGGATAGACACTTCCTCTACCGAAGCCCCAAGCTCTGTGAGTTTCTGTGCTGCTTTCAAAACCAGCTCAGAAACTCGCTCATCTCTCAGAGGTTGATCAAAGCCCTCCTTCAAGATTCCAATCTTCAGCCCCTTGACACCCCCCTTGGCTAGGGTGGGATAATCCGGCACTTGTCCCGGCAAAGGACATCCAGCACCGGCACGATCGTCGATTCCGTCGTACCCAGCGATGACCTTGAGGAGAAGTGCGTTATCAAGGATAGTCTGCGTGTAAACGTTCCACACGTTTGATCATGTGGGAAGGAAGGAGGAGAAGAAGAGAGAACATACTTTAGTCATGGGACCCGCATGGTCGATAAGGGGTTCGAGGGAGGCGATGGCAGTGTATGGAACAAGTCCGTAAGTTGGTTTCAGACCAATTATCCCGTTGACACAGGCTGGGATACGGATCGAACCACCTTGATCACCTCCAATTCCCAAATCCACTTCTCCTAAAGCCAAGAGAGCACCTGTGCCCGAGGAAGAACCACCTGCCGAATAACCTGGGGCGTGAGGGTTATCGATGGGTCCTGCGGTATCAGCTGCTTCTATACTTATTCCCTCCTATACCATTCTTCTTCACAACGAGAAAACTCTGAGGAATACCCACCTGTGGCAGAAGAGATTGATACTCCCCACATTGACAAATTCTCACAAACAGCCTTGCCCGTGATCACACCCCCAGCCTCCAAGATCCTCTTCACAACCGTCGCATCCGTATTAGGTACATAATCCCTGAAGATATCCGTTCCCAACAACATCGGAACCCCTTTCAGAGCTACATTGTCTTTGAGACATACAGTCTTTCCCTCCAACACTCCCCCGGTACCTTGAGTATCTTTTACAGTCGCTTTCCAAGCCCAAGCATTACTCTTGTTCTCCTCTCCTGTAGCGCGATGAATATTTTCACGAGGAAACCGAACTTCATCAACGACCGGCACGTAGTCAGGGAGGGAGTCGATGGTATTCCATATCTCCCAGATACCCGTGAGAAGGGAAGTGTAATCTTTTTCGGTACCCTCTGGACATTTAACGCCAAGAGAGGAGAAGGTGTCGTGAATCGATTGAGAGGTGATAGGGTTGTTTGGGCTGAGTGTGGAAGGTGCGAGGGTTGCAGACATGGTGTGTCTTTTTGCTTTTCGATGTCGTTGAAACACTTTATTCTCACGACTCAAAATGGAGATTCCTACAGTCACAGCTGACACTCTGCTCGACAGTAGTACTCGTACTCGTACGTCCAAGTTTAGAAGTGGTTTGAGAGAGTCATACAGAATGCTCTTCACTGGTCCGGCCGACAGGCTCCGGAGTCATCCCGGAAATGCTCCCCATCTTATCTCTGAGATCTTCGGAGATATTTCACTAGCGCATACTTTAAATCTCTCGATCGACATCTCTTATCAACACCTCCACCGCATGACCAACCGAACTTTTCTTCTTCGTCACTTTGATGCTGACTTCACTCGTAGTGATTACGGTCCCTCACCAGCGAACGACTATCATCGAGTTGTTCCAGATTCCTCTCTCAGGCCTCTACAACCCTTGCTTCCCTCACCTCCTCTCGTGATCCAATGTCTCATCGCTTGTCCTATCTTCTCCATCTCTTCCCGCTTCAACAACGCCAATCTTTCTTTCCCTTTCTTTCTACTACTCCGTTCATCGGACACCTCCTTGCCCGCTGCGGGTAGAACGGAGTCTGTACGTGCTTAGTCTCATGTGCCTCTCGGTGTACCCCGATATCTACTATCTGCCCATTCGCGTCATCTGACCTCCCCTCAACTACTCTTTTGTGTCTTTTGGCAAAACGGCAGAACTGACATACCAGTATGCAAATGATGACATTGTAACCCTGACATTTCGATCACGTTTGTACTCACTACCGGACTGCATTTCCTCCTTCCTCTATCAGTGTCTCTTTCCTTTCTCCTCTCAGTCTTTTCCTCCGCTTTCATTAGCGCCTATCATATCCTTGACATGTGCTCCGAGGGCCAGATTCTTCGGACCTCCATTTGGCACTCATGACCAATGACATTCCTATGATTGCAGACTGATAAGAGTGTTTTCTGTTGCCTTTGTATCCGGAAACCGGTGCCGACTTGATAATGATATACTCTGGTGGAGGGCTCACTTACTCTATCAAGATTCCTGTCGAACTTACTGCTCATCCTAAGTAAGGAGGAGTACTCATTTGTCTGTCCTTGAAAACGGAACGAAGAGAATCGTAATCTGGGAGAGAACACGACCTGCTCAGTTGTTGACTTCAACGAAAAATCAGACAAAAATCAGGCAAGATGGGCCTCCTTCATGAAGCTCGTATCTTCTTCATTGGGGAAAAACCTGAGACGAAAGCGGAACGTCGGTTGTTGCTCAAGATCGATACTTTCATCCTGTCTTATGTCTGTTTGACGCAAGTGAGTCCTTATCCCTATGACGATGATTACAGTGCTGATAGATCAGTGGGTCAACTATATCGACCGAGCCAATTTGGCCAATGTATGTTTGGACCATCCTCTACTGGAATAGAAAGAAGGGCATATGCTAATGATACAGGCCTACGTGTCAGGAATGAAAGAAGAATTGAATTTCAAAGGTTCGTCAAAGGCCCCTCGAGCATAAACGACCCTTGTACTGATTGTAACAGGAAATCAATACAATCAGGCCGTGTCGATCTTCACCGGTGTGTAGTGATCATATTTATGTGTGTGCACGAGCTGACGTACAAGCTGGTTACATCGTAAGCCCAAGTGGGTCGTATTGCAGGTATCAACTGACACGTCTAGGTTGGAGGTATTCCCAACGCTTTGATCGTGTCCTCTAATAGAATCCGACTCTCCTTCTGGTTCCCATTCTGTTGTATGATGTGGTATGTGTTTGCTCTCCCCACAATCTTTGTGTTGACATGTAGGGGTATTTTGACTTTGGGACTGGGCTGTAAGTATCAACATAAAGCGTTTGAGAGAGAGGCTGACAGAGAAGTCTGTCATCATGTTTACCAAGTCCAAATCATTAGGTTCTTCCAGGCCATCTTCGAATCGTCATCTTTGTACGTTTCCATACGATCTTTTTTCAAGCCAGACTGACAGAAAAGCGCTGGTTCTCATTATATCCTCGGAGCTTGTGAGTCATATCCACCTTTTTCCGATTTTGTGATCTCGTGCTGATGTTCAAGGGTATAAACCGGTCAGTCTACCATTGAACGATATCAAGATCTGAGATACTGATACTATTAGAGCGAATTAGCCAAACGATCTTGTCTCATTACTGCAGCTGCTAATGGAGGGTTCTTGTAAGTTGACTTGACTATCGTAGACAGGAGCGTGAGCTGATACGTCAGGTTGTCGGGTGTGCTTCAAGGAGGAATCCAATCGACTTTGGACGGGAAAGCTGGTTTAGCCGGTTGGCGTGTAAGTCTTCATGTGAAGATAGTGAAATATGGGATGCTGAGAAGAAAAGTGGTTGTTCATCATCGATAGTTTGATCACTGCTCCTATTTGGATCATCGGTTTCCTTACTTTCCCAGAGTACGTCATTCGTGTCCCATCATTACTCTTATTTCCCCTCCCCTTACAATCGACCTCCCACTTTCTGGCTCCTCCAACGTCGACATTCCACCATTCCCGTCAAGCCTGATGTCGCCTTGATCGAGCTCTCGACTATTACGTGTCAGGGCCGGGTGGCTATTCACCTGTGCTTTGTTTTCTGAACGGACTGAAAGGGATTCCGAGCTGACCAGGTAGCACGCCATACAACACGAAAGCATTTTACATCAACGAAGAGGAAAAGAGACAAGCAGTCGAACGTCTTCCTCCTCATACTCCTACCAAAGTGACCTGGGGAGTATTTTTGAAAGTTGTCAAAGAATGGCGTTTCTGGGCATTTGCAACTATGTTTTCGTATGTCATCTTCGTTAGCTATAGCCATTATGTCTCTCCTACCTTCCTTTCGGTATTTCTTTCTCAAATCTCTTGATTTCTCTTTTTCGTCCTAGTGCGCCCCCTCTGCTGTAGCAGACAGGTGTGGCGGAAAAGCAGCCAAATTGTCAAGCGGGTTGGTCATGCGCATTGACTGACTGATAGAATCAACACCAACATGGAATTCGTCGGTCTTTACTGTAAACCCATCCCTGTCCTGAAAGGTTCATGACTGACAATCAAGCAATCATGTCTCTATGGCTCAAGTCGACCGGAACATACACCATCCAGCAAATTAATTATTATCCTTGTGGGGTGTATGCAGTCATCATCGTGGGTATCCTCCTTTTCAAGAAAACATAGTTGATGATGTCAGGCGGGTACAGCGTTCTTCGCCTTGTGGACAGATTATGTTCATTCGCGTTGGTGGGTCAATTGTGTGATGCCTGTCGGAGCTGGTCTTTCTGCGATTTTATTATTGGGTTAGTGTTCTCTCACTCATCAAACAGAGTGAAATTGACGAGGTAGTATGGGATATTCCTACTGGTGCTAAATTCTTCGCCTATGTGAGTTTTCTCGATCTCCACATATGTTTTCCGTTCAATTCCCATTCGTCACTTGTATGTTCAGCTTGAAAACTTCGTCACTCCCTTGGCTTCAAGAGGGAAGGAAGGGGAAGGTGGAATTGGTGCAATATTAAAGATTAAGACTAGGACATCGGTCTGATGAACAGTATATAGGAGGTTTAGGTTATATTGGTCAAGCAGTCAATTTCGCATGGGCAAATGAGGAATGTAGAGAGGATGATCAATTAAGATCATTAACACTTTATTCCATGGTATATGGTAGTAACGTCACGTAAGTTGAATCTTCCTAGTGTCCAACCTAATTCATCCTCCTGAATGATCAGCTTGGTTCCAAGATTCTTCCTCACCTCACTTACTCAAACAGGAGTCCTCGATGTACGTAGTGGAGAGAGATAAAGTGGAAATGACCGGAGAAGGAGCTAATGAGCAGAATCGCCTGGTTCAACATCGCTCTTTTCCCTGTGACCCATGCTCCAAAGTTCAGAAGTGGTCTCATCGGTATGTCCCTTGTATCCTATCCTTCATACCAAACCCCCTTCTTCTGCATCAAAAGTGGGAGGTAGACCATGATCAGGTGATTAAAACGAGTAATATCAAGGGATATTTAGGAAGAACATTGAAGAGACATGAAGAAGATGTAATTTGAAAATGGACCCATCCAAAAGTACACCACAAACATACAGTACACTAACTTCTCAGCTGTCATAGTGACATGCGTCATCTCCCCTCCTATGGCCATAGCTCTCCGTTGGGCACTCAAGAAACGTCATGCTAGACTTGATCGTGAACAAGCAGAATTCACCAACGAAGTCTCTGGAACGGAGGTATTTGACGAAAAAGCTGCGTTAGGGAAAGAGGGCGAACCTTTAGCTAGAATCACTACAATTCCCGTTTTGCCTTAATTTGGATATCAAGATGATTGTATGGGTCGAAATGGGGGTTTCATAGATTGAAAGTTGTCAGGAAAATGAAGATATGTGATACATTGCTATGAACCTTTCGTCAAGGGTATGAGGTATCAATGAAGAGCCAACTGATCTTTGAGCCTTGAACCTTGTAATGGACTTCTGATGGAGGTTGAAGTGAGAAGTTGACATCACTCGATAAAATTGGGATTATACTATGATATTCATACAACACGTCTCGGTGTTCTCATAAGGTCTTACGGTTCAAGTAGAACCATTGTACGTTATCCTGATCACTATTCAAAACCCCCCAACTCTTTTCTTCCCAATCTTCTTCTTTCCTACTTTGCCCCCGAATGGACCTCTTTCCACTTGAGTACTAGCCCACATTCTCTCTTGACTCTGATCCATCTCCATCTCCAATGGTTGAACCGGAGAAGACGCTCTGGTAGGTAAGATCATAGGTACACTAGCTGTCGCCCTCAAGATCGTTGGAACTCCTTTTCCTACCACTTGGGCATTCTCACTCTTGACAATGAGGGTACTATCTACCCCGTGGAGTATGGTCGTACGGGGTGAAGGATGAGGTCTGATTCTTCTTTGTCTTGGTGATAGAAGATCAGGATGAGAAGGATCAAGCCATGATTTCCATTGGTAAGATTTTGGATTTTCTCCTATCACCCATTCTGAAAGTAAAGATTTGACCGTGGGATCATCCAATGTGTTCTGAAAGGACGGTGGATCTGATTCGAGAGTATTTTCCGTTTGGCCAGGAGGAGGTTGGATGTTCGGTGAGAGAACATGAAAGGTCAATGGTGGAGGAGAGGCTTCGTTCAATGTGAGACGGGCTGTCGCGGAGGCGAAAGCGTCTTCGGGGGATGAGATCGATGTGATTTGAGAATCCGATCTGATCCCTTGGGTGGATGAAGAGAAATCGTCAGTGTGTAGAATGGCGGATGAAAGAGCGAGATCGAGAGAGAGACTATACACATGGGCTTCGTATTTTTGTATATATGCTTTTTGTCGTGGAGCAGGGAAGATTTGTAAGATTTCTTCTAGATTCCAAGGAGTATCATTGAGAAAACGAGCAATAGGGTGACGGAGAGAATAAACCGTAGGAAGATGTCGTGAGAAATCAAGGTTTTCCAAGCGAGATAAATCGGCAGGTAAAGTATCAGGATCCACTTGAATACTTTTCAATAAATGTGATCGAACTGATTCTTGTTCTTCCGAAGTTACGTCTCGAACCAAATCTGCCCTACGAAATTTAGCAAATGGTTATGTTATGTACCCTCAAGGAAAGAAATCTCACGCAGTGACGAAATTCTCAAAAGGTGCATCTATCTCTCTCGCGTATTGTTCCAGAGCTTGTACGGAGAATATGTCGCCGGTGGAGGACGAAATAGATGGGTTGATTTCTGAGTATGAGCTACCATTCCATTATACACCCTCATGAAAGAACCCACTTCGCCAAGCTCGATGAACATCAAAAACCCGACTTTTTCTAATCGCCCTTCCATCAATATCATCCGAAATACTTTTCTCGGAAAGCTTTGCAAGAGCTTCAACCTCTTCATTCCATTTGACCAATGGTTGGAGTGATCTTGATGATCGTCGGATAGCTCGTTGTGAACGAACAGCATGAATCGAGCCATCTTCTTGTAAACCGACCAAGATAAATCTCGGATCTTTTTCCGTCCCTTGCCAGGGCAAACTAACCAGACTACATAGTCCTCGTTGTCCTGGCTTTGATACGGACATCGGGTGAGGAGGGTGAACTGATCTGACGGGGAATGAGTTGGTGATGTAGAAAGCGAGGATATGGGGGAGGGATGAAGATGAAAGTAAAATCATCTCTACTATGTCAATAACGTTTGTGAAAGGTTGAGGAAGGCTTACCAGACTGAAAGTTGGGGATCGCCAATAATTGCATGACTTTTACGCTTCCATTTCCATATTCATGTCTCCAACTCAATTGTGGCATACCAGGAAGGGTCTCGTCAACCCACATCACCTCAAAAGTCGTTGCTACACAAGTCACTGCTGCGTTCCGTCGAAGGGCGGTCTTCTCCAAGGCGGTAAAGCGTCTATCAGGCCCAGATAATTGTAACAGGATTGTAGACGTCTGTGATGGGCTCTTGAAGTCAGCTTGACGCAGAAACCACTTTCAAACTAGCTGACCTCAATGTCCAAGATAGTGAGCTGGCGAGAGGACATGATCAACGCTGTCCCCGATGTTGTCCCAAATGCTATACGGAAGAACTCGTCTTGAGCCTCCGCGAGGGCTTCTCGGAGCCTACGTCTTGACAGTCAGGAGTGGATCATGTATCAGAGAATTCTTTGACTGACAGTTTTGAGACCCTTTGTAGCTTCTCATCCACTTCGATATGTTCTTGTTGCCATAACCAAACACCTCCAGCTATATCAACCATCAAAAATCTACCCCAATGTAGAGGATCCAAAGCGATATCCGCATGTCGTCTACCCTCAGTTTGCTCATATGTCAACTGAGCGACCCTTTCCGTACGGACCGGATTGAAATTCGATTTAGGTCCAGCAGCAGGATTTGGCAAGATATCTATTAAAATCGTCTTTGCTTGAAGACGAACGGCTAGGATGGTTGATTCACCTTTGTGTCAACCTTCGAAAAGAAGACTCGAGTGAAACTCACGATCAGTCCTATGACCCGATGTAGCAGGTGACCATTCCAACTGGAGGATAGGAGTTTCAAACCTTTCCATCGGCTTTGCGATGGGTTCGAAGCGACCTAAATCTCTTCGGTTAACGTGTGCTTGTCTCTTCGGTCTGACGAATGGAGAGATATCTAAGCATAAGCAGGTTGATTGAGAAGGTGTATGTAGATGATCTCACTGAGGTGATGTCCGACTTGTCCCATCGGAAAGGCCAGAAGCTTGGGAGCATACCTTACACGAGGGTTGTCGATGACCACCATTGTTGAGCCTCTCGTGTAATCGACCGGAGGTTTGAGCGAATTTCGATGTATGGCTAATAATTCTTCGTCAAGGATATCAGATAGTCCTTCTAGTTCATCTTGAGGGACGATATCTTGAAGAAATGAAGTCTGTCCCCCGATTAGGTATCGTTTCTCTTCGAGTATTGTGGACTTACCGCAGAAGCTGTCATCTCCTCAAGATTGAGCTTACTAGACTCAGAGGTTGTACGAGTAGGAGGGAACCATTGCTCCGCATTTCCATCACTCTCGAGACGTACTTCTGAGCAGGATTAGAATGAGATACCTATGGTGCCTGTAGAAACTCACTGGATCTTTTCTCCCCCGCCCATGTCCATCCCCATTTCCCCTTGGTTTTATCTAGACTTACCCCGCCCGCTTGCCCAAAGTCGAGAACCACACCATGACTTCCAGCCTGAACTCGATCCGATGGATCTGGAAGAGAGTCTTCCCATGGATGTAGACGACGACGTGGTTTGACTTGACCACCCTTGGGGCCGGTGGGAGGGGGTAGAGCTTCGACGGTGGGAGGGATCATGGAGATATACAGTGTGTTGATGAGTTACTGGTCGCTGTGAAGGCTGAAGTATACAAGCAGGTAGATGAATATCTTCTATATCTAGGGAGGAGCATAGTAATTTGTTGTGCGCCGTTATGATAGACAAAGGCAGGCAAGTCAGGTTTTTAAACGAGAGGTTGTTGGAATAAAATCAAAATACTCTACTTTCGGTTGCATGGTTGCAAAATATCTTTTCAAGTACTTAGGCTAAGTACTACTAACTTACTATCTACCTACCACCTCTGCTCCCATCCAACCTCTCTTAGCCAGGAACCCTCCGAGAGGATCTACGGTCATGTACCACTACTTGTCATACAAAGCCAAGGTAGACAACCTCGTTCACTTGTGTCAAGTTCATCCTCTGTTGATTTTGGTCGTCCTGACTAATGCTATACATTGACCAAGGTTCTGCCTTCGCCATCCATCCTTCGAAAGTGATATCGCAATCTTCCCATCCGAATCCGTCTCTGAAACCATCAAATGCTTGAGCTAGACCTGGAGCCATCAACTCTGGATCAAGAGTCACTGGGGTATTGTGCACTGCAACGTATGAGTGGACAACATTATTGATGGTAAAGTCCTTTCCTGGGAAAGTCCAAATATCAGACGGGGGGATTTGATCCTTGAATATCTCACTGTCTATAACCACTTGATTTTCTCCTTGATTCATAATTTCCTCTGTGATTGTAACATTTGATGGGGCAAGGTAACTACATTCCAAAGTCGTTTTCTCTTCATCCGAGCCGACTTTGGTGAGTCTATACATGTTCTTCTCGTCCCGATTTGACATGAAAAAGTCTCGATGTTCTCGCGTTTCTGTACATCCTCTCAGGTACTTGCATGCTTTCGGGGTCAATACAAGAGAGGTGTCATAGTCATCGGTAGGTTCAAAATTGCCTTCTTGTAGGGGTAGATATTGTTCCATACTACTGTTCATAACCCGATGACGACTATATATATCTTTCATCATGCCTTAGATCCCTTCATCCGACCACTGTACTCAAATATGAAACCCTAATCACGCCTTCACATCCGAGTACAGAGGAACTTCAAGGAATGGTTTCACTATTGAGGTTCAGCTACTGTTCGTTCCCTTGATGGATCAATCATCGCGTCAGAAGAAAGGGTGCGCATTTCTATGCGTAAGATGTTGTCACCGAATGCGTTTGGGAAAATGACGAGTGATCTCGCAACATGCCCAACAGCATATAGGAAAGTATTGCATGCACCAGTACTAGTGATCCTACCTTGGGAAGCAACATTGATAGCGAGGAGATATTTGTCGAATGAAAAGTCATCAAGAACCGAGCAGAAACATCATCTTGGAACTAATGTTCTCACATCTCATTCCACCTCTGACAGAAAAGCTATCAGCTGTTCCAGTACCATCTTTTGTAACGAAGCCTGTCCTTCCTCTTCCTCCTCCGTCGGATCCCCTATGTTATCCTTAAAGTCCTGGAGCACAATCACCACATCACCTAAAGATTGATCTCTCCTTGATAATAGCGTTCTAGCATGTGTCATTGCCTATTCTCTGTCAGCTCATCCCTCTCATTCATAATCAAACTGGAATCGTTACTCACGCCGTCATCCTCCATACACACCCAGGCCAATATATAATCAATATTTTGTAAAGCACTCAGACCTTCGTCCATCCGTCTCAAATACCATTCCGCTTCTTCTTCCTCCCCCACTTCTTCTCCATTGGCGATCATGACTTTTTTCTCCCTTTCGATCTCCCTGTTCACCACTCGTAACCTGCCCTCCGCAGCTTCACGCATTTCCAATAATCGTTCCACCTTTTCATAGTTGTTCTCCACGAATTTAGCAATCAATCGGATACGTTGTGGGGAGTCAGAGGCGAGATGTGTGAAGAGGGATACGAAGATTGATAAAATGTGCTCTTCGTCTTCCGTGACTGAAGAGGCGTTAAGCCGTCTTTTTTGATCGGGTCGAGACATGAATGCTGAGAACAAGGTTTTGAGACCGAGCATATCGACAAAACGTTCACAAGCCGGAGACCCATCTTCTGTCTGTAGAGCGTAGGCTAGGACTTTGATGGCACGTGTACGAGCGAGGAGCTTTGCTCTGACATGTTAGTTGGAGTGCCCGGGTGGTAAATAGCTAAGACCCTATGATGCCAGAATAGATGGGGATGTACAGAGTACATGTGCTAAATATCAAGGAATGGACTGAAAGATTTCCTGGACACATAGAGGGCTTGGATGAAGAACGGTGATGGACTCACTTCATGAGGATAATCATCAACTCCACTCCCTCCGCTTCTAAAAACTGCCCCTTCAATTCCGGTTCTCCAAGTAAAGAACACAGTGCGTCGAAGCAATTCTCCATAAATTCTACTTCTTCACCCGTATCAGGATCCTTTTTCCGATATTGCTATTGGTCAGTGACTCGACTCTCTAGAATACGATAAACTTACCGCCACAGCCTGTAGAAGCGTTTCCAACCCATTTAACTCTCCCACACGTAGTTTGGTATCTCTACTATCTTGCAAAACCATCGATAATATCTCACTAGTATATTGTTTGTTACTATCGAAATCTTTCTTTCCAAGTCGTTGTATGATCCAAGGTAATAGTGTCGTAGTATTGACGATTTGTTCCGCCAGAGGCGGCATGAATGATAATAAATTCTCAAAGACGTTGAGTATACCGAAAACACCATCCCGGTCCGTTTCTTCCTCTTCGTTCAATCGTCCAAGATTTGCGACTAACAAGTCCAATAGAGAATTATTGAGCTATCACCATGAGCTCTGTGATGAACTCACCAAAGACAAATGAGCTTACCAAGTCATCTATTAACTCGCCCATTGCCATCCTTGCTTTTGCCGCCAAACCGTCCTCCTCTTGATCACCGTCTTCCAGGTTATCCAAGACATCATCATCGATCAACTCTCGGATGACGTCCACAGTGTCTATGGCGATATCAGTGTTCTCGTGACTGAGTAGATTGGTGAGGAGGGCGACAGTTCCAGATCTGACCAACTCGGGGTAGAAAAGGATAGGATTTTGTGTCAATGTGAGAAATTGTTTGATAGATGTATCTAGATCTGCTTCTGATTCGATGAACCTTCTAAGTCAGCCCTGTTATCACTTGACAGCGTACAAATAGAGAGTTTGGACATACTTGGAAGGATCATCTGGGTATTTTCCCCTCTGCTCAGCGTTCTTAGCTACCACCCTCTCAAATCTTCCTATCTGTCGTCTCAGAGCAGGTAATGTGAGGGTTGTATCCTAATCGTAATGAGTATTGAACATAACAGATGAGAAAGCTCGTACCTCTGTTTCATCCCCTGCAGCATCGAAGATGTCCATTATTTGCTCTCCAGTCAGTCACAGATCATAGACCGGTTTGAGATGTGAGAGCTCACTTCCTGCTCAGTGTTCAGTCCACCACCAAAGAAACGTCCTTCTTCATCCGGATCTACCTCATCTGGTCTATCGGCTTCGTTCTCAGCTCTACCTCATAAGGTCAATGGAGATCTCAGCTCACCCTCTGCATACAATCTATCATCCTCTTCATCCTCAACAGTCGTTGCATGTCCTTTACCCTTCCCATTCTTGACAGGTATTGATTGGGACTTGAGATCTCTCGTTTCCACACGGGGTACTTTATATCTTTCCAGCATTTCTAATCTGATCAGTACTTGTATCTCAGAGGTTTCTGGACGGACAGCTCCATAAGAAAGGAACCAACCTGGAGTAGGGTTGTCGGTGAACTTTCGTTTCTGAGCTGCCCCCGCTGGTAGCGCCGGAAGCTTGAATAGCTTGTCCACGTCCATGTTGTACGATGTCGGAATGACCTAGCTAGCAAGCCAGCAGATTCGCACGCTCATGCACTCTTGATAAGAGCTCAGTGGGCGGACAAAATGTCGAGGTCAAAAGTCGAGGTGTGAGGTTGAAAGAGGGAAGTTGACATATGAAGTTGAATTTCTTCCCACTTGAACTTGTAACTTAAGTTACATCCTGCCCCATCCCTACAACATTCCTAGTAACCTTTTCATCTGCTATGCATCTCGACTCTAACTATTAGATAATCTCTATGTACAGGTGAAGAAGATCACTGCTTCACAACGCTACACAAAATGTTCCCAATACCTTCTCATCTCCCACGAACAGGTGGTGATCATCTCGCTTCTACCTCCCCCCCTCCGTCTCCACCCCCAGACCCAGTGCTCGACATCTTTCAACCTCTCTTCTCCCAACCTGGACCCTCTAAACCTCCTAGATGGTCGGTCGAGCAAGTCCGAGCAGTCAGAGAGAACCTGGAAGCCGCCATCACCTCCAACAAGGTCTGTCCAATCTTCCAAGACCTTTCTTATCGAGCTGATTTGTAGGCTAAAGGTCATGAGCTTCTTATTACCAACTATCCCAGTGTCTCTACGCATATACGAATAGGAGAACAAATACAGATTGATTCTTCACATCTATCCTCAGCTGTCCACAAGCTAGAGCAGGAGTTGGATGAGACAGATCTCAAAGTGTGTTTTACTGCTTATAAGTATCGGACTGATGAAGAGGCTTCATTCTTACCGCCCCTCCTGAAGACATTGTCAAGACATGCGTCCGCACTACAGGGTCATAAAGAGGCGGAATCGTATCTGACAGGGCTTCGCTCAATTGTTAGATACAAAGAGAGGTTGGAAAAGTTGGAACGAGCCATTTGGACTGGATGCGGGGTGGATGATTGGGTATTGGATGATTTGGCAGAAGAACAGGGACCTTCTCAAAAAGAACAGGAGACGGAGAGGAATGATTCAATTCTATATGGTAGCAAGATTCTTTCGCTGGCAGAGGTGAGTCTTATCGTTGTGACGACAGCTGAAGGGTAGGCGAGGGTAAAGGCTCTGAAAGCTACTCTGACGGAACAAATCATCGATGCTCTAACTCGAGCCGTAGCTTTTTCACAGCCAATCGAGAAACAGCATCAGACAATTCTGACCGTACAAGAGCGGTTTAGTCTTCAGATACCCAAAGGTGTGTCCAGCTCCACATGTTAATGATATTTAGCTGAATGTATAGGATCTCGACCCTCTCATGTCGGTTCCCCGAGAGACATACCGTTGTACCCCTTGCTTCCTCTATATCACACCCTCTCACGCTTAGGGGATATCAACACCTTCCTCCGTCCTCTTTTACTTCGATTACAAAAGGATGTCATATCGCCGCTCCTTGAATCCCATCCTCAGCACAGGGTGGAGTATAGTAGGAAAGACACGATATTTATCCTCCGTATTGAAGTCTCAGAAACGACACGAACTCCCGCAACTATCTTATCAGATATCTCAACGATACTGAACCTCGTCACGGATCACATCCTTCCTCCATCTCTTGATTTACCTCAGCGAGAAACATTTCTCTCGGAACTTCACTCTTTTACCTTTGAACAGATCCTCAATCAACTCCTTCTTCCAAATATGCCATCTGACATTTCTTCCATCCCTCCCTGGTTAGATACTATCCGAGAGGCTGTCGATTTTGAACAATCTATATCAGTCAGCTCCACAAACCTAGTTATTCGTCATTTCATGGATTCTGAAGCTGGTCATGCTTGGGCCATCCAGAGACGAAGATCAATTGAGGAGGAGACAAGATATTTGATTCTGTCCGGTTGGGGAGGTTGGGAGGGAAAAGAGGTGGAAAGAGAGAGGGAAATCACTGTCATGGTCGAAGTGGAAGTGGAGGATGTTGATAATGGACCACCGCTAGAATCGACCAACGGCTTACCAGTTGTCCCTCAGACCCCCACGGACGCCCGTAAACCGAGTATGGGTATAGAAATGGAAGAAGGGTGGGGGTTTGATGACGATACATCCATGGGAGGTGGAGCCTCATCTCTGCCTATTCCCTCGGTAGATACGACAGTGGAAGAAGATGGCTGGGCATTCGAAGAACCTACACTTACACCTACTCCTCCTCCGAAATGTATCAAGCCGGCACGAGAAGCAAAGCGACTAGGGAAGAAAGTGGCAAAAGCCAAAGCACACGACGAAGAGTCATTCACATCCGAGGCCGAATCTTCAAAAGGAAATGATAACGTAGGCTCTGGTTTTACATCGAGGAAGAATGGGAAGACTCCCCGTGTTGCGGGTCAAGTGGACGACTGGGGAGCCTGGGGTGAAGAAACTCAACCGAACATCGAAAACACTACTTCAGCGGTAAAACCACGCAAAACCCACATGGAACTGAAAGAAGAGAAGAAGATTGTCAAAGAGGTCTATCTGGTCTCAAAAGCATGCGATACGCTCGTAGCTTTAGCGGAGAAAGCTTTACAAGAAGCTCAAGACATACATTCCTCATCGTCAGCTACTCACCTTGTGTTATCTCAAAGCTGACGTGTTAGACTGACCTCACCATCTTTCATAGCTGCTCCCGATATTGTAAGACAAGCAGCGGGAGATGTGTTCGACATTTACAGAGCTATCTTACCTGTCGTCTTTACTTCTCAACTTCGAGATGTACCTAGCATCGCAATGCAGGTATATAACGATTGTCTTCATCTATCTTCTATACTTCCGTCCTTGTTTTCGACACATTCATGGGAAGAAGGGAAAGATATAGCTGAGCGACTTAAGTTGACAGGTGAAAAAGTGTTTGAAGATCAATTACAGATCCAACGGATTTCTCTATTCAGTTTGTTAGATGAATTACGAGGGTTCGAGGATATTTCGAATGACGTGGCGTATAGAAAGTGTGGGAAAATGATCGGACAGGTCAAACATAATCTTGAAAGTTTAGCCAAGGTACTCAAGGTGAGCGTACTTGATCAATTTTCTCTCACATATCGTTTTACTCTGTTGCCGATTCACCGACCATAAATTCAGGGTATCTTATTCATGACACGACATGTCGATAGGGAGGATGTGTGATGACGACGGGCATATCAGATCTGTAAGAAAGCTGACACACAGCCAATGTTATCTACGCCCACTTGGTCACTCATCATGGGTTATTTGATCGACTGCGTAGTGGAAAGAATATCAACAGAAGTATTGGAATTAAGAGATATACCGGAGATAGAGTCGGAAAGGATCAACGAATTATGTAAGAGTTTACATGATCTAGAAGAGGTATTTGTGATTTCACAAGGAGAGGTAAATCTTATCTCTTAGCATTCCTATCCCTCATCGGTTTCCTTCTAGCCTGCTCTTATCTCAGTGTCCGATCTGACACTGGAGCTCTGGTCCGTACATATTCTTGGAAAGGAGAATGGAGAAAGGGGGTTGGTGATGGGGATGGAAGATACAGACTGACGTTCAGCCATCCAGTATAGTAGCTCAAGTTCCTCATTGGCTAAAATTCTGTTATCTTTCCGAACTTCTGGTAAGTTCTCCAGTCCACTCTCTATAATTTACCCCTACTTCATTTCCGTTCGAAATTACATGATGAACAAGTGAAGACGTGATGATTGAAGACATGATGAGCAAGTGTTAGCGGTGGCATGACGAAGAAAGGCAATTTTGATAGCCGCTGATTATCAAGCAAGCAAATTTAGTAGACATTACTTATCTGTTCGAAACTGGAGCTTTGGTAGATTTTTCAACGCAAGAGTTGGTGGGTATCATTCGCGCATTATTTGCCGATAGTGAAAAACGAGATGCGGCTATTGAAAAGGTTGAGCGGGGTGGGATTGGGTCTATAGGAATATGACGTGATTCGTTATCTGGGACGACGTGAGGAGTATGATGACAGTGGAGCATGAGGTTGGAAAGACGGAATGGAGGAGATTGTGTTGAGATGCACATGACAAATGCACAAGACACATGGATCAGATACTGGGTTAAATACCCGCGAGACCCGTCGCTAAATGAATTGGTAATTGTACACATGTAGACAAGGTCCAAATTTTAAGTATATATACTACGGACTACGCTCACACTCTCCCCCTCCCTCTCTTAATTCACGGTAAACCTAACATTCAACAACCAACATCCAAATACCAAAATTCAAAAACCCTTGGGATTTAGTCTCTCGCAACGGATTGGCTTGAGAGACGCCATGTACAGCTCGGCGATCGTGTCGAATACACAAGTAGGGATTGTCGACAGATATTCAGTCATCTACACCCAGATTCAAGGCTTTCCGTTTGACCTCCAATGAAGCTCTTGAAATGATAGAATTGATCGGGATGGCGAATGATCACCTCAATGGGGTATGTAACTCAAGCTCATGACTGAGTTTACTCCTCCCTGTCCTACTAGGACTCCCTTGTACATTCCCTCCATCCTTCATCGGCCCGCCTCTCAATCCAGCGATCGCACGAACTTTTGGCGATCCTTTTTCTCCTTTGCTCATCCCAGCTTTCGACTTGGGTGTTCCCTCATCTTCTCCATTCCTAGCAGGTGCGATGTTCTCCTGATCATTTTCCTCCCATATCGTCGACGTAGGACTAGAAGGTAGATGTGCTTGTGCATCTAAAGACAGATCGGGATGTTCCGAGATGTTACGAATGGTTTTACTCCTCGGTGTGAGAGGTGCCGAGGGAGCTGAATCAGCCAATATGGTAAAGCCGGGATCATGTATATCTTCGTACTTCGTCATCCCAGGCTGAGTAGATAATCTAGAAGGTGTAAAAGGTGTGGAAGGTGTGGATGGAGCAGTCGTTGAGGAAGTATGTGTTGAATGAGATCGAGTAGAATGTTGAGATACAGGAATGGTAGAATCAATAACCCCTGACCGGCGTGAAGTTTCAGAAGTAAGATCGATAGATGGTGAAGGTGATAATTTCCCAGTTTCTTCTTTCGGAGCTGTAAAAACAACGTTTCCTGATCCAGATTTACTATAACATCAGCCAATCTTTCCAGCAAAAAAAAATGATCAAGGGAGAAAGGAAATCATGATGAAAACTCACCTAGTTGTACCATTTGGTGAACCTGAATTGATGGGTGAATCCCCTTGACCAAACAAACGTCTAGCTGGACTTCTACCTAAACCAAAAACAGGTTTCTCTAATTCTACTATTGCACGAGGTGTCAAATCACTTTTTCTCCTTCTTTTCACAGTATGTTCCATAACATCTTCTTCCTCTGCTACGCATTGCGCCCTGACCCTTCCAGGGCTGGGAGGAGGGTTGTTGATATTTGATTCGGCCGGTGTTGAAGGTCTTCTTTTGATGGGTATGGAAGAAGGTGAAGGTATTAATGATGTGACTGGGATGAAACGAGATAAAGGTAATGTTGATAAGGGTCGACGACGCTCAGACATCATTTTTTCTTCTTGAGTGTTCGACCGGGGTGACGGGTTATTTCCCTTGATCAAAAAAGACGATAATTCTGAGTTTCCAAGGGTTCAAAAGTTGACAGGGTATGAGTGAGATAGGTAGATGTTATGTTCGAGTCAAGATAACAAGAAAAGACAAGTGTGAAGATGGATGCGAATGTTGTTGTGGAACAAAAGAGGGAAAAGATGAGAGAGTGATGTGGAAGGAGGGGGACAGAGAGAAGGGGTGAACTCTAAACAGACCAGAGTTATTACGTAATCTTAAATGTTTTCCGTCAGAGACGCCGACTTCTCCGGCTGCCGGCCGAATTCGAAACGTCACGATTTCACTTTTTCCCCCCCCATCATCGTCATCGTACTTTACACTTGAGAATCGATACATTGGTACATATGATACTTTTATAGTTGTACAGTCAAAATAAGCATCGCTATATTCAACAACATGCCTCGTCCTGATCTCACTTTCCCAGGAATACCCGATGTGGAAGAGATGGATCGACAAGCTCATTCTCGTCCTCGAGAGGTCCTCGGTGGCGTGGATCGTATGGCGGGTAACGAATACACTTGGCCTGAAGCTGGTCCTAGTGATCTTTCATCTTCTTCGGTGGCTGGCGGGGTAAAGAAAGAACCCAGATTCGGACCATATGGAGCTAAGATGATCGCTTCTATGACTGGAGCTATGGCTGTTTCTCTTCTAAGTGAGTTTATTCATGCTCCGACCTTCTCACCCTTTCGTCTCACGTCATTCTCTAGAGCTCATCTGTGTGCAGGTAATATAGACAGGAAAGGAAAAATATGTTAATCTCTTAGTGTCCCCCTTCGACGTTGTCAAAACTCGACTTCAGACCGTTCAACCATCCCCTAACTTCCCCGATCTCCCAGCCACCGCCGCTGAAGAATGTTGTCAAACTTCCGTCCTCACTCCACCTTCCACGTCCAAACGTCCCACACCCACTACTAAAACCACCGTCAATCCATTGACATGTTACACCACCGCTTCCAGTTCACCTGAACCTCCCGCTCGACAAAGTATATCTTTCGCCTCCTTGCGACCGGCCGCCACCCCAGCTTCCGCCCCAGCTGGGTGTTTACATCCATCGAAATGGGCGGGGATATGGGGCGAGGCAGTGACGTTCGAAGAAGCTTTAGCGAGAGGGGTGGTAGGTATGAACGGAAATGCCACGCTTGTATTACCAAGAAACGAGGGGTTATTAGGAGGTTTTTGGAATGAAATAGCTACAGTTAGAGGTGAAGCTGGTGTGAGGGGATTATGGAAAGGTGTTGGTACTACATTGTGAGTTTAATCTCGTGTTTTTTTTCTTCATCTCATCGATTCATCATTGTCCTAGATCAGATATTGATGTCCAGAACAATGTCTATACCATCAACGGCTATATATATGCTAGGATACGAATTTCTCTTATCACGAATATCACCTTTCTTTACCAATTCAGATGATCCCCTCCATAACTCTTCATCACTCAATCGATCTTCTTCAGACACATCAAAGTCTACAACAGCTTTCACTCCAGCACCTCTGATAGCAGGAAGTTTAGCAAGGACATGGAGCGCTACCGTCATTTCTCCAATAGAAATGTTTCGTACTCGTTTACTCGCTCGTCCGACATGTAAGTTCTTCTTCCAAAAACTAGTCACCCGATACTGATCTTAGCTCAAACCATACCGACGTATGCTAGTACTTTCAAAGGTCTAAGTGTGTTAGTAAAAGACAAAGGTCCGACTATACTCTGGAGAGGATTAGGACCTACACTTTGGCGTGACGTTCCATTTTCCGGTAAGTCATATTACCTTTTTTTTACCCTCCATCTCCACCCATCCCCTTCTGATCTGACATATCGTCGGCCACGAGAAGTCTAAAGGTGTGACAATGTCAGTATATTCGGTGCTAACATGCAGGAGCATATTGGGCAGGATTCGAATTACTTAAATCAAACCTTTCTTCACCTTCTTTTCCTATGTTAGACCCTATAACCACAACTTTCTTATCTGGAGCTATCTCTGGAACCTTTGCCGCACTTCTCACACAACCTTTTGACGTTCTTAAAACTCGAAGACAAGTGTTCACACCTTCACCTAATTGTTCCCCCGCAGCACTACGGAGTCACGCTTCCACGCTTCCTCTAGCACTGTACGTTATCGAAACGGAAGGATGGCGAACATTGTTCGCGGGTTTATCAGCGAGATGCGGAAAGGTCGCACCTGCTTGTGGATTAATGATTGCCTCCTATGAAGGTGTGCAGAGATGGTTGAGGGAATCATAAACGTTTGTAATGATGTCATATGGTACAGGGTTAGATGAATAGATCGAAGTGTCTTATTTGTTTTGGGTTATGGAGATTTAATGAATGCATTTGATTGTCTTTCTGGTATGACAATCCAGGAAGATGACAGTCAATCTTGAAATATAATGACAATGACAATAACGAAGTAGATGAAGATGGGAAGACAGAGTCGAAGAGACGAGCTTTCAAGCCAGTCCGACGGCACGTTTCACTTGATTCAAATAAATCGCACGAGCTTCTCGTACATCTGTATCGACCGCAGTACGAGAATAAGGGGTCCATTTCGGTTCATCCTGGAACAATCTCATGGCTGTGATGGCATTGTCGTGATCCACAGTGAAGCGGTGATAGATGCTGCCTTGTCAGTGCACACGACCTTACTTGTTGGCTCTATCCGTCTTGTAATGATTCCGTCTTCAGGGAATAAGGCATGTTCTCGTTCCCTCCTTATAAGCTTTCCTGTCACAGGGAGAAGGATGGTTTCTCAAGGCAAGAGGGATGGAGGGAAGCAATCTCAAAACTCACCCAGCGGGAAGAACGAGTAAATCCCCTTTTGTCAAAGACACACGTATCCATCTCTCGTCGTACTCTCCACCGCTACCTGTTCGTCAGTCATGTCGTCCTCATCATCATCGACAGACCGTGGACAGAACATTTTGCACAGTCGTCGAAGTTCGCGAGGTACGAGATTCGGGACTCGGGTTGAACGAAAGTGAAAGAGGTAGATGACAGATGGTTTGATGGTATAGTGACACACCTCTGACGTCAAAATATCCAGAGCCATCCAAGATATATCGGATCTCTTCATCTTCGTGCAGGTGTCTACCAGTCAGCACGTGCACGCCATTCCTCTTGCGAAGTCCTTGGGAAGCGAACGCTTGTAGTACGGATCACTGCCAAGGGAGCCGTGGATTTTGTAGTTATGCGACAAAAGTGAAATTGGAAGAGGTCTTGTAAAGGATTCAGATACTGTATGGGCCGAGTCACTCGGGGAGGGAGGAAGAGTGGCAGAAAGCGTACATTATTAGGAGAGGGCGGGCCAATGACCTGTGCAGATGCAGAGTAATTTTTAAGAACTCACTCGTCAAAGAAAGATTTGATTTTAGTCTCGTACGCTTCACCAAGACCAGCTTTGGTCACTGTGATCCTATCTCTCTAACCGTCAATTCCATCATTCAAACGCTCAGAGAACATACATTTTTGTATCCTCTCTGTTCAGCGAATGTATCTGTCTGTCAGAGTGCTCACTTCTGTCACCTATAGTGGAGTCGACGGTGAGAGAGATTTACATATGACAGGACATGAATGATACCCCACCAGAGGATGGATCATCAAATTGGGAAATGAGAAAGGTCGTAAGGGTGTTACAACGTACGAACGCTTGTAGGTGATGGAATTGGTCAGATGATAGGTGATGCAAATGGTAAATCGATACTCACCAATCTCCTTTTCCCATTGACCTTCCTCATCAATTGGAATGTTCACATATACCAAACCCAATCTTTCAAGTTCAGAACTTGAGATTTCGATACCGGAATCATGAGGTTGTCGTTGGTCGCCACTGTTTTCATCAGCTGGTCCATCGTCTCATTTGCTAATGAAGAAAGCTGACGGAAGGTCATCGTATATATAAGCTCTCATTTTCTCTTATGAATTTATCTTTACTATGCTCAGCTACGACTATTTGCTCTGTGGTGAAGGAAGGCGGAAGAAAGAACCAACCAGATTTGACGGTTTACATGACGCCAGAAACGTTCTTTCTTTCCTCCCCGATCACATCTTTATTTTCCCACGGTCGTTACTATCCTCCACCCACTCTCACCCCACCAGCTCACACCAGGAAGATTTGAAGCTCTATCACCATTGATGTTATTTGGATGTCCACCCAAGTATGTCGAGATTACCTCTCGGGGTAAGCTCCAAGTGCGCTTTATATCGAAGAGCTCGCTGATCGTCAGGTCTTGTCGATTTGGCAACAGTTGTCGATATTATCATCCACCTCGAAGTGGCCGTGAGTCTAGATGCGGGTGAAGTTGTCATGAGTAGAGCTGATGAGAGTATAGAAGGGGGAAGAAACGTTAGTTCAGCAAATTCTGTACCTCTTGGTCGAAGAGCCAGCTCTGAGGAACCAACGTATCAGTTCAAGTGAGTCATATATGTCTTTTTGGGGTTTCACAAATGAGATCCGTCATTGGTCGTTACAGACCTCAAGTATGAAGGCATAAACTTCGAGGAACATGATTTCCCTTCCCGTGCATCCAACCGTCAAATTATGTGGGGATTGATGCATTCGTACATGAGAGGATACTTACTCAGCTCTGTTAGTTGAACAGTTGAACAGACCTTCGGCTGACATGCAGTGAGGACACGCTAAAAGCCGATCTGAAAACGGAACTGCCAACATGGATTTTATCATCCTACGGAGCGGCAAAGTACGAACCGAATTTGTTCGCTGGGATGGATATGAGTCAAGAGGAGATGAGATGGAAATGCGTTCAAGCTGTCAAAAGAGGTACTCCTCAAGAATACGTGAGCACATTGCCAATCTTTACTCTACTTATCTCATTGCCAATCTTTACTCTACTTATCTCTTGACCTCTGAACTTCCCTTCATGTCGTCGTACCTCGCTGATCATTCCGCCACCATTTATGAAAGTTTGATCATTAAGATAATAAACGATTATGATAGTAGTTGACATACAGTTTAAAGAAGAAGCAGACCTACTGAATCAGGCTAGAAAGACGATAGATCAAGCCACCTCCAACCTTCGCAAAACGCGTGAACTGGCTGAGAAGTTACACGACGCTCGATATCCTTCTGGAACAAAAGTGGGTGGTAATCGTCCCACCGAATTTTCCGAATCTACCGTTCTGGCCAAAATCTCAGGAACTCCCACCGGTGGATTCAACCCACCCACCATCCCCAACGCGTTCAATCGTCCTTCTACGACAGCTTTCGGATCTTCGACACCTTCGGCTTTTGGACCCACCGCTCCCGCAGCTCCTAAGGCGTTCGGGACTTCGGGAAGTACGTTCGGCACATCTTCCTTTGGTCAACCAGCATTCGGTACCTCTTCTTCTCCGTCTTCAGCCTTTGTCGCTTCTCCCGCTCCCACTACTTCAGCCTTCGGTCCTTCTTCAGGTGGATCCGCTTTTGGTACGTCCGCCTTTGGTGCAAAGACAACTACTTCGGCTTTCGGATCCACTACCAACTCGACACAACCATCTACATCTGGATTTGGTTCGTTTAATACATCCACCACTGCTTTTGGTGCACCTCAAACAACTACAATGACACCATTCAGTTCGAACCCTTCTTCAAACCCCACCATCACCTCCACTGCACCTGCGTTCGGCACCTCAGCTTTTGGCAAACCTGCAAATCTGTCAAATAATGCCTCTCCAGCCTTTGGTAGCTCCGGTTTCGGTTCTTCCACACCTTCCGCTGGCTCGGCATTTGGTCAGCCAGCTTTTGGATCAAGTAGTTCTCCAGCCTCAGGAGGTTTTGGTGCATTTGGGAAAACGACAACGACTCCCACTGCATCTGCTTTCAGCGCTTTCTCATCTCCTTCCACCTCTACCGCGACCCAGCCATCGTCAGCTTTTGGAACTTCGGCATTCGGTCAAGTCAAACAATCTGCTTTCGGCTCGACTACTTCCAACGCAACAACCGCGACTTCCGCCTTCACACCCAATCCTTTCTCCGCAACCACCACCTCAGCATTTTCCACGCCTCCTTCTTCGAACCCTTTTACCAAGACCACACCAAATCCATTCGCGCCAAGAACCTCTTCCTCAACACCTGCTTTCAGTGCGGATGTCAAGATACCCCCCGGATGGTCATATGACGATCCTTGGAGTTGGACGTTGGAGTCTCTGGAAATTGACGAAGAAGGGAAGGGAGGGGAAGAGGATGAAATGTGGAAGCTTCCAGAGTGGGATTCATTCGATCAGATCCCTGTGAACCCTCCCCCTAGAGGTGTGAGAACATAAAGATTATCAATGACTCTACATGTTTGTGTATATCCGTTGTAGACAAGCATCATAACATCATGTATCCAATGAAAGTGTACACCACGGTGATGGATGAAGGTCATTTGGAACAGTCTTTGAATTTGAGGGTTAAACCTTCGGCAAAAAGGTGAAATGCTGTGCCTGAATCCTGAAAAGAGAACGGACGGAGCTTGGCGCCTCGTCGTCATCATCGTAGCTTGAGTGATGAGTGACTGTCTGCTTCTCATCCATCACTATGCACCATACATTCGTCAGTGGCACAGTGATCAAGTGACTGAGATAGATTATCTGAGGGGAGGTATCTTGTCATATGTATCATCGTCTTGCCATATCACTTGTTGCTTTCTTACATGTTCAAGCTGTTCGCGATGTCCGGAATAACTGTGGGGCTCTTTCTTGTTGCTGTGGCGCCGCGTCGGGAACCTCCGGCTTTACTTCCGTTCCGTCTGCCAAAGCACATCAACTACAGTACATTCCAACCCTACTTCTCTACTTTCTATGCTTCTCACTCTATCGCTTCTTTGCTTCTCCATCACGTCAAATCATCTCATTCTCTCACTCACTCGCATCAAGCCATTAGATTCATAAACGAATCAAATCTCGCATATCTTTCAACATCCAAAAAGCCACAAACAGACTCGCGGAAGAGAAAAAAAAAAGAGGTGCGTTCGGGAATGGTCGATCCGTCCTTCCCTCCTTTCCCCTTTTCACCACTTCTACTTCTAGTCTTCAACACCTCAACAGTAAGTAACGGGGTAATTCGTATCAAAAGAACAAAGCTTCTTTATTCCCTCATATCACCAACCCACGTTCACGTCCATATTACCTCAAGGTAAGAAGTTAGGAGAAAAGGAAAAGAGGGTCGAAATATTCAGTTGGATCCGAACTGACGTCAGAGTCTTTACAACGTGCCTAAAACGTCCCTTTGTCGCACTTTTCATCCTTTCTTTTACTTCTTAACAACCACTCAATATATATATATATTATAGAAGCTTGTATCACTTCTTCTTTCTTCTCAAAAGATCTTTCATCTCAAATATTCGAATAAGAACTTTCCGAAATGACACCGATTATAGACATACATACAAGTAATAGCGCTGGACGTAGTGTTGATGGTGATACGGAAGCAACAACTTCTTCACCTGTCGTCCCGGAAGTTTTGGAGAATGGTAAAACTCAGAGGTTAATCGTCGTTTCGAATAGATTACCGGTCACTATAACTAAAGATGAGAAAGGGGAATACAAGTTTGGAGTGGGTTTGCTTTTTCTATCCGCTTGACCTTTCATTTCCCTACCTCGCTGCTTCGGCAACTTGGTGATTCTTATAAAAGGGTTGTAATGAAATAGCGTCTCATCTCACAAAACTTCTTTGGGCTCTATTGTATCTCTCCCTCTCTCTCTGTTCGGCTCGATTGGGATCATGTTCACTAAGTGGTCGACTCATACATTGATCTCCTTGCTCCGTGATCATTCCACAGACTGTATCCTCCCTATCGAACCTGAATTCCGTTATTGTATCGCACGCGTCGACCCTCCCCTTCTGTCTTGACTGCTTATCCCTTGCTTACCCGATATGGATATCTGAAGGGAATCATAGTGCTGGCATGGGAGTTGACTGTGAAAACGTATAAGGCGTGGCAAATGAGACTTTGATGCTGATCGCAGATGAGCTCCGGTGGACTAGTGTCTGCTCTATCGGGGGTGAAAAAGACCATGGACTTCACATGGATCGGATGGCCAGGGAAAGAGGTGAGCGACATAGGTAATCGAGAGGGATAAGACTGATCATCAGATCCCAGAAGCCGATAGAGAACATGTGAACAAGAGGTTGATGGCGGAGTACTCATGTTATCCTGTTTATCTGTCCGATGAGCTTGCGGATCGACACTACAACGGTAAGTCCTTCACATTTGTTCCTCCCATGCCACAACTCTTCACATGCGCCTTCCAAACGCGAGGTATCGGTGCATGAGAAAAGTCATGGCTGCAAAAGTAGGACTGCCTGATAACTGACATCAGGCTTCTCAAACTCTATCCTCTGGCCCCTTTTCCATTACCACCCCGGAGAGATGAACTTCGACGCTGCCAATTGGCTCGCCTATCGAGAGGCAAACATGCGTTTCGCCGATGTCGTCGCCTCCATGGCCTCTTCAGGGGATATCATCTGGGTCCAAGATTATCATCTGATGCTCCTCCCCATGCTCCTCCGATCACTCATTTCCGGCGAATCGGCACAGGGCGAGATGGTACGACGTGAGCTTGGTAGAGTGAAAGAGGGTGTCGATGATGGTGTCATCAAGGATGTTTTACATATGGGCACTGGTGTGGCGGATGCTATGGACGAGGGTTTGGACATGCTGGACGATGTAGAGGAAGAAGGCGAAGGATTGTTGATCAAGACGAACCCGGGACAAAGACGCCCGAAATATGCCAGGGGTATGTCTGCATTTCAGAAACAGGAGATGGTGGCCAAGTCCAAAGGGAAGGAGGGGATTAGGATCGGGTTCTTCTTGCATACACCATTCCCTTCCAGCGAAATTTATCGGTGAGTGTTAAATCCTTGTTACCTTCGTACTTTCGGTCAATCTCGAGCAATCACTGACGGTCAGAATCCTGCCCGTCCGTCGGGAGATCCTCCTCGGTGTCCTTCAATGTGACCTCATAGGGTGAGTCGTCTTCCTTGTACCTGCCGTCCACTCATGTCAGTTTCCACACATACGACTACGCCCGACACTTCCTTTCCTCCTGCACTCGTATCCTAGGTCTTCAAACAATGCCCAACGGTATCGAGTTTGAAGGTCGATATGCACAAGTTGGAACATATCCGATCGGTATCGATCCTAATCAGTTTGTGAACGGTTTGAAACAACCTAAAGTGCAAGCTAGGTTAGCGCAACTCGAAAAACGGTTCGAGGGATGTCATGTGCTGGTTGGTGTGGACCGACTGGATTACATCAAGGGATTGCCTCAGAAATTACATGCCTTGGAGGTGTTCTTAACGCAGCACCCAGAGTATGTCGGGAAGGTGAGTCACTATTTCAAAAGTCGCCGTTCAAAATCGCTGCCAACTCGCAAATACATCCCTTCCCTTTCTCATGTCAGCTGTTGTTCGCCTTGCCTTTGCACCTGGCCTCAGAATCATTCGAATAAAAGGACGCTCATGACTGACACACAGGTCGTTCTCGTGCAGCTCGCCATCCCATCCCGGCAGGACGTTGAAGAGTATCAAAATCTACGTGCATGCGTCAACGAGCTCGTCGGCAGGATCAACGGCCGGTTTGGGACTGTCGAGTTTATGCCTATCCATTTCATGCACAGAAGTGTGCCGTCTGATGAGTTGACTGCGATGTATGCGTTGGCGGATGCGTGTTTGGTGACTTCAACGAGGGACGGGATGAATTTGGTGAGTCCCCCTTCTGTCATCCGACTGTTCTTGCGAGCTGATGTTAGGTCGCATTTGAATACATCTCCTCACAGGCCAAAAGACACGGCTCGATGATATTATCCGAATTTGCTGGAGCCGCTCAGAGTTTGAACGGGAGTATCATCATCAATCCTTGGGACGTGCAATCAACGGCGGATGCGATTTACCAAGCTTTACAGCTCAGTGCGGAACAACGGGAGAATAGCTGGCGAAAACTATACCGGGTGGGTTGATGGATTTTCTGTATAACATGTTGTTCTTAATCGCTGACACGATAGTACGTGGCGAAACATACTGCCGAAGCTTGGGGAGTGGCATTTGTGTCCGACCTACGACGTATCGTCCTCGGTTCCGGTCAACCGGCTCCTGTACGCAAACGTTCCGGTACCCTCAGTCGGACATCGAGCAAGGCCAGCATGGGTCGTCGAGCGAGCACGACGTCGGTGAGCGGGGTCACGAGTGTGAAGGCGTAGTGCGTACTTGGGGGATTTGTATGTGGAAAATGGTACGAAAGATCGTTATTGTGTGGTAGATGTGGAATAAGAGATGACGTAAGTACACGAATTTGATGAAGAATCATGTCGAGATTAAAGAAGCGGTGAGGTTTCAAGAAGTCATTTGAGAAGTTTTTACACACATGTTCATGCATCAATCGTCTGTGTTGAAAGACACGGTGGTTGTTGATGTCACGATATGTATTCCCTCCGACGCCGAGATGAGCCCCATGATTTTATCGGCCCCGAGGACCCTGAAGGTCGGACAGGGCCGGTGAATGACCACGTTGGTTGTTGGTGGATGGGTCTCCTCTCTCCCACAACATGAGATCTACTTAGTGCTGTACCACTTTGATAATTGAGACAGATGGTTAAGATGTTTCCGTTTCACACTGATCAGATGTAGATATGTATGCACATGATTTGTGTAGTAAAGGAGTTGTTTTATCATGGGGAAAAGTCTATCATTATGCTGCCACTTTGGCGTTCCAGGAACCGAAAACTGACACTAAGAGATTCATCTTTGTACATACTTCCCTTCCTTCTTTACCTCTCTATCCTTTCTACCTTCGAACCGTTGACACATGTCGTCTCCTTGACAAGGTCTTGTTTATTCTGTATTTACATTCAAAAGTGAGTGATTTTCATCTTAAGATTTGGTGGAATGGAGAAAGGAAATACTACATAGACAAACGTTCAATTTCGTCATTCTGGCACATTCCTCACTTTGTCTTTCCTTCTTTTTCTTTCTCTTCCACCACATTTTCTCCCTTCTTTTATCTTTTTACTTTCTTTCTTTCATATATCTTCCTTCTCTACATTCCGCAAACTACAACTCGGTATGTTATATATCTTACACAGTCACACATATCTGAAATTTAAAAAAAGATAGCTGACGTACACAGTCCTCCTTCATCCTTCTTTACACCCACTCCTCCCCCCACTCCTGGAGATCGACCATCAAACAGCTAAACGACTTTCTTGAATATAGAAAGGAATCTCACGAAGAAAGAATCTCAAAGATAAAGAACAGAACAAGACAAAAAACAAAACACAAAATGCTTCCAAACGCTTTCATAACCCTTCTCACCACTCCTTCTTACCTTCCTGGTGCTTTAGTGATACTTCATTCTCTCCGAGAACTTCACCCTGATCCGAGACAATTCAAAATCGTTTGTCTGGTGACGCCCGAAACTGTTGATGCGAAGGTTATAGGTCAATTGAGAGAAGCGGGATTCGATCTGATCATTGGTGTTGAACCTATTGCTAGTGGTGAACAAGGACAAGATGGGTTAAATCTTATGGGTGGGTTTTTTCTTTCTTTCTTCACTTCACATATCCCAAAAGCTTGTTTCATACGTCTGACTTAGTTCATTACCCTCGTTTGAGGGCTTATACTTCAATGTACAGCTCAGGATCGTATAATTGTCGTATCAAGAGACATTGCCTCTACATGCAGTCTTACTCCTATCTTCTCCCCAACAACAAGTGATGATCTTGTCGGGTATTTCGGCGTATGATAGGGCTTTTCACACGCAGAGAATGAATTGATGAGGCACAAGGAATGTCTTAGACTAGTGATCGAAGGGTGGCGCGGAATGCAACTGACTAGAAAGGTCGCCCAGATCTCAATCTCGCTCTCACCAAACTCCATTTATTCCGTCTCGCCCCTCTCTTCTCCACTATCATCTACCTCGATGCCGACGTTCTACCCATACGTCCCCTGGATCATCTCTTCACAGCTACCGAACCCCATGTCCTCTCTGCCTGTCCCGATACAGGTTGGCCAGATTGTTTCAACTCCGGAGTCATGGTCATTCGTCCTAGAGAATCAGATTTCCTCGGTATGCAAAACCTTCTTAAAGGTGGTGAAGGAAGTGATGGAGTGTTTAGAGCGGGAAATGGGAGTTTTGATGGTGCGGATCAAGGTGTTTTGAATGAATGGTTCTCTGAAGAAGGAGGTGGAGGAGAGTGGCACAGACTCCCATTCACGTGAGCAATTTCCAAAGATGAAGGGCATAAGCTGATTTGGAAAGATACAATGTCACACCTAGCGCCGCATATCAATATGCTCCAGCGTACAAGAGGTATGGCCACAAGATTAACGCTGTTCATTTCATCGGTCCTCACAAACCATGGTCAAATCTCTCTTCACGTCCGGCTCGTTTTTCCACAACTCAAAACAAACCACCAGCATTTGATTGTAAGCCTTTGTTACGACGATTGCTTCCTCTGCTGATCACAAAGATCCATCTCTTATAGACCGATGGTACGGCGTTTACGACCGCAACATTCGACCCGCTCAAGCACATCAACCCGACATAGTCAAACGTTTCGCAGTTCCAGAGAATGTAGCCGTGTGGAATCAACCCACTCTATCCGGTACACCTCATCAACCGGATGACCGAATGGATTTAGAAGAACTTAAAGCTGCTGCAGAGCGAGGTGTCAACGCATTCTCCTCTGGGCAATATACTAGCTTACCACTCGAAGGTCGAGTCAATCTCATGATGCCTAAACCTCAATCTGCACTGATCCCGCCTCCGCCGCCACCTCAACCTCCCAGCCCGACCATCAGTGCAACCCCTCACACCGTCTCAGTGCCGTTACCGCAGACCATCCAACAACAAACACAACAGCCAGCTACTTGGGATGCCACTCATCACGCACCACCTAGTCACGGTCGTCCCGAAATGGAGATACATATGAACACGCATTACGAACCCGCCTGGGAACAGCCCGCTAGTGTGCAATCATCGTATTTCCAACAACCGCCTGTGTATCAGCCAGAACCTCACTATCCCTCTATACCTCCAAACGTTCGAAACGACCAGTGGTATCGCGAGTTTACCGGTACAGTCCCTAGTCGATCCTTGATCCTCCCGGTGTTTCCGTGGGAAGAACCTGGTCATCATCATCATCGAGCCGAGCGTGTCTTTCCACCTGGTAACACACCACCACCAGAATCACCCCATTTGATCAAACCTTTCATTGCTGTCCAGGAACCCACTCCACCTGTGCAATCTCCCTCTCGATCACCCGAACATGTACCTGCACCCGCTCCTGCTCCCCCACCTCGTTCCATGGAAGAGGCCATGGCGTCGTACATCAACGCGTGGGATGTGGATCCAAAGATACAACGTTATGTCGATCGTATATCTGGTTCTCGACGTGGGACTTCCACGCCATCGGCTCTTCAATCCGTCCCTGGTACCCCTCGGTATGTGCCAGTGAGCTACGACTTTGATCATCAACAAGGCATGGACTCGGACGGCAGCGAAGATGGGGATGACGAAGGTGGTGACGACGAGTCCTCAGAGTCACTAAACAGTAGTCGTGCGACGTCAAGAGAGCGACCTATTGGTGACAATCCTATCAGTTCTTCAAACTCTCGAAAGAGGTATCGCGATCGATATGCTCAGACGGATAATCCTCAATTGGCTGATGCCAAGGTTCAAGTCGTACCTGGTGGCGGACCGTCTCCTGCTGTTCGCACCATCGATTTACCACCTACTCATCCTCAACCCCGGAATGTACCAATCAAACCTACAAGCAACGCTCATATTCAATCTCCGTCAGAACCGACTGAAATACCATCTCGTAAAACATCCTCATCATCTGATACCGCTCGACCCGAAACGGCATTGGTCACACCGACCTCGGATGCCGTGGCTCTCGGTGGCTCAACACCAGTCCCCTTTCCCGTGTCCCACGAGGCGCCAAAAGTCCGACCGAGGATCGCAGTTCATCGTCAAACTCCATCGACAGCGAGCATCGCTTCGGAGCATCTTACAGATTCAGGTGTACCGAAGAACCCGCAGAGCGTAGCGAGGGTTTGGGACCCAAGTACGGATCCAGAGGTTATGAAGAGAGAAACGCAGGAGATGTTGGACAGGTTTATGCGATTAGGAAGTTTCACCAAAACTGCCGTGATCCCAAAGTGATATCACCTGACCTCGGTTGTTGGATAGGGGTGGTAATTGTCCGATTGGTTGGAGAACAATGGGGGGTTTTAGTAGAAGCGAATCATGATCTTGTGAATATTGGAAGGAAAATCTTGTGAATATTGGGTTTTTGTTCAAGTGTCAGTCTGGTCAGTGTATCCGGATTCAAAAAACAAATGGTTTCACGGAGTGGACAGAGAGAAACGCATCAAACTTGAAAAGGCACGGCATCATGGTTTTTATTTTACCCTTAGGTTTAAGTTTAGAGGATACCCTATGTGAATATGTGAATAGATGCATCTTACATGTTTGGTTTTCTGTGTTTATTGATACAACATTCATGTCAACTATAACATTCCACAAGTGATATGTTGGTTCTACAGTCTCTTCATAAATTCTAAGTCTACAACAATTTTTACACTACAGCATTGTCCATTAGCAGTGGAGAGTACACGGAATCAACCTCATGATGTAGGGAGGACCTCTGTCTTCATTCTTGCGCTGCAATAGGCACACGAATGCTGAATAACCTTGTAACTCCCAACCGATATTTCAACCGGTTGGGGGTAGCAGGGACCTGATAGTTAGTTTGATCACATCAATGAATACCACTGACGAGCACGGTTTGTCCCATCTGCGGTCCCAATACATAACCTCACTTCGAATCCGTTTTGATGCAGCCACAACATCAATTGTCTGTCCTCTGCTGACAGGCTCTCTAGGATTTGAGCGGCATTCATTGTATCTTTGGTTGGGGGGGGGGGGAAGGCGTAGTACTTGGTAGGGAGGGAGTATAACATACAGGTGAGAGAATTATGGTTTCATTTCAATTCAAACTTTCCCCAGTACCTGTCGCAGTATTTGCATCGGAAATGGCAGACTGGTGGGGTGACGGTCAGGTGCTTTGTTCCAATCACTGCACAGGAACCTTATGATGAGCTTCTGTGTGTATTTCAGTTGGTTAACAGAACTCACCTCCCCGGTTGGTCCCGTCCGCTGTCCCACCACAAGGGGGAATCGGGGTTCCCTATCTGTCTCCAGTGGTTGAGGAGTTCGGCGGCAAGCTCTTCGACGGATCGGTTCATTCTCGGTGGGGAAGAGTGGTAGAGTGGCGTCTATGTGGTGAAGCGGCGGGCAGACAAAGATCGTGATTGAGTGGCCAGAAAAGTTAGGAGGGGTGAACGATCGCAGCCGTAGAGGAAGGCGGTCTGAGGCTTATCTTCAAGATGTGAGGTGGGATCGAAAGCCAGATGAGGGAGAATAAGAAAATTCAAGGTGTGGAATGTCAAGAGAGAGAGAATTGTAATAGTTTAGAAAATGGGAAGAGAAGAGAAGTGAGGTGATTGAAGAGTTACGGGTCAACAACTCACCATTTTATACTCTTCAGTGGCAAGATTCCGTTGAGCCAACCAACGGTGTCATGAGTCGAAAGACCTGTTCGAAAAGCGGATCACGAAGTAGAACGAAAGATCGCTACTCTCGACGGCAGAAACGGCGAGCGGGAACGTCGAAATGACTGTACTTTTCGTCGAACTTTGGGGACTTGGTGCACCGCCGACGGGGCTGACGTACTGCGATTTTGGTACGGTGACACTTCGGTGACACTTCGGGTTTGGCAAATTCCAGAGCTGTCAGGAGTTAAGTGGGGAAGTTAGGGTATCAGAGTGGGGGTTAGAACGCGGATAGAAGTGCAGATCTGACCGTTCAAGCTTGAAATAACAGATATCTCTTAGTCGGACTTGTAGGACAGCATATCGGAAGAGTCGGGGTTGACTGGACTTGTAGTCTCGTGTTTGAGGGTGGAGGAAGATAACGTGGTAGTCAGTGGGGAGTGAGGCTGTACACCACGTCATTCTCATCTAGACTCGAGGACGCAGGATGTATCGCGGCGGTCGGATTGGAATAGTCAGTCATGATGATTTAGACTCGAAAGTACAAGGGTTTACTCCGTGCGGCGTAAATCGGCGAAGGGACACGTGAAAGGGTGAAACAAGCGGCGACAGGGAGGAAAGGTACGTAGTACGATGTACTAAAGAAGTCAGGTCTCAGTGGCAAAGGGCGTGATGATCACGGGACAAAAATCAGTGGCAAGAAAAAGGGAAATTGAGAGGGTCTCGATAGAAGGTGTGCGGGAAAGAGGAGGCCTTGAACTGAAGGGAGTGTTGAGACTGAAATGGAGAAACAAGTACAAAACTGAGAAAGCGACTAACTGTCAGGTGGCAGTGGCAGTGGCAATGCGGCAGTATACGAGAGTGGCATCATGGGGGATGGCAACGCATATCCCTATGCTCAACGCCGAGGATAGGCACCATTTGGACGAGTCCATCGTTGCAGAAACCCTCGGGAAGGGTCGGAAGATCAAGTACTTACTGGGAAGTTTTGTACTCTCATGTATGTATGTATGTACCATGAGGGGAACAGCGCAAAGACCACGAGACATGGAGGACATACTCCCTTCTCCGGCCGACTGAGGCGGTCAGTCTTCCTTCGCTCTTCCACCCAGGAGCGCTGGATCCAAGCCGTTATAAACACCTGGGACCGTGGAGGACTATGATCCTGACAGACACCAGAGGCTACTCGAAAGGCCCGTCCGTTGGGGATCGGACAGTGACGGCTGAAGCGTCTTGAAAAACTTTCCCCTTCTATACTTATTTTTGACAAATTCGGGTCCGCTGAGTATGGGTTCAAAACAATGAAAGTAAAAAACATGATAGCTTGCTATACCCTTCTACCCTTTGAATTGACGTTTTCTCATCGGCAAACGTGATATTCGTTTTTAAAACGGGCACCTTGTGGAGTTTTCTGAACAAGCTCAGTTACCTAACCACTCCCCATAAACAGGTGATGGCTTTCTGGCAACAAGGGTAATGTATCAGGAAGCAACGGCCTCAAATTTCCAAGGGGCTGGAGAAGGAAGTAACTTAGCAAGCACGTCTAGCCTCCACATCGTGCGCCTCCCTCGTGTGATGCAGGAGACACACACACACGTCACCTTCCCCGGGTGGTCCTGATACCACGTGTTTTGCTACCTGTCTTCGAATACAAAAGTTGACTTCTATGACTCAAAGTATTCTCAATCATCTCATCAGCCATGTCAGCCGCCACTCGACTTCCTTCTCAAGTCATTGAACGAATATGCCAGTTCCTAGACAGTCCTTCAGCCAGAAGACTATCACAAGTCTCCAAGATGTTTGTTTGCTAATATTAGATGATAATACAGAGGGGAAAAAGAGCATGCATCAATTCTACATGTCTCTATACTTATCACATTCCACTCACACGCATTAAACCAGAGACGATCGAATAAAGTTCAGAGGATAAGTTGAACGGAGAAATATTCGACGGAAGGGGTAATTATCTAACGGTGGTTCGGCCGTCCTGGCCCGATTCTATCGGCTAACACTCCCCCACGGGACAATGCACGACTCTGCAGTAGTCCCGGACGATTTATCGATGGCGACGGCGAGGTTTGTGATGATGTAGAAGGTAATAACGATGAGATATTGAGTGTTATGTGTGTGGTAGTAGTGGTAGGTGAAATCGTGAAATGAATTTCGGTGGGGCCCCCTGCGGGGCTCCGCTCTGACACGTGGTTACCACTCACTACTGACGACTGACTCTTCTCTATCATTCCTTTTACTTCATCACTTTTATCTCCAATTATCGGTATGTCCACCTTTCGTCTTTCTCCACTTTTATCACTCGTTTCTGACTGTCTGAGCTTCCCTCTATCCTGTCTACTTCTTAAAACTTCAGGTTTGCTAGTAGACTCCCGAGAATCGATGAATTTCCTTTGTGGTCCTGGCTGACGATATTTCGTAGAACCGCTACCCACCGAGAAACTTTTATTTTCATTAACAATTTCATTATGTCTTCGCCACTTCCCGATGGTATCGATCCCTTGGTTCCTCTCCTGAGGCCTGGTGAGGCTCATGGTACGCTCATTAGTCACTTTATCATGAAAATTATCTCTGACCAGCTGAACTGTCGGATATCTCGGTCCGTACCTTGGAGGCGACCTGTCGACAGATCCGTTTCCTCCGAAGGTTGCTTGTCTCTCTCTCGAACGCTGGTCAAGGTGCATCTGCACCTTTCTTCGACATTCTTTACGATCTCGAAAGGGCCTGTCAGCATGTGGAGAATTTGTTGGGATACCAGATCGATGACAATTAGTGTCATGTATCCTCCCATCTTTTCTATCTTTTATCTTTTCTTTCTTTTCCTTATTTTTCTCTCTTAACTCTCTAATGACTCTAGGTTCTACCGGTGGCTTCTGACCTATCTTAGAATTACTCACATTCTTAGGTACACCTGAAAATTTTACATTTTGGCTCACGAGAACTTTTCCTTCGGTGGTACCTTCGGTGGGTTTCTCTGAAGTTCCTTCCACCCACACTTCTCTCTCTGGTACCGACTCTGTCTGTGGTACCACTTCGTTCTCTGGTACCACTTCGTTCTCTGTACCACCTGATAGATCTCCTAGATCCTCGAAATCTGAATAATCGTAATCGATGATTTCATCATCATCTAATGTCACGTATACTGAACCAATGTTTTTCTTCTTCGGTGGTTCTACCCGTATCGCTGACATATTCACCGAATGTACTGGTCCACCTAAAGCCTTCGTGAGTACGTCTGCCCTCTGAGAGACAGTGCTAACGTATTCTAGTTCAATAACCTTGTTACTGACTAGATCTCGAAGAGCATGATGTCGAATATCAATATGCTTTGTCCTCTGGTGAGTACCAGGTTTCCTCGCTAGTGATATCGATCCTTGGTTATCGCAGTTTAATGTAGTAGGATTTAGCTGATCGTAGCCTATCTCCCTCAATAATCCTCTCAACCACTGAGCTTCCTTCGCTGCTTCAGCCATCGCGATGTATTCTGCTTCGACTGTCGACGACGATACTGTAGCTTGTCTTTTTGAACTCCAGGTTATCGGTGAGTTGTTCATCATGAATATCCAACCTGTAGTTGATCGTCGTGTGTCTTTACAACCTGCCCAATCGGCATCAACCCATCCTGCTAGATCGCTAGCCTCGCCACCGAGACGAATACCATGTAAACGAGTGGACCGAAGGTAGGTAATTACCATTATCCCTTCTTCCCATACTTTCTTCGTCGGTTTAGTGAGGTACCTAGCAAGGTATGAGGCGGCATATGATATGTCGGGTCGAGTACATGTGGCTAACCACTGTAGACATCCTATTAATTCTTGAAATGGTCGAATTTCACTCTCCGCCTCCGACATCGATGGATTTTTCGCAGTAAGGGGTAATGGCGTTTTTCGGTCTCGATGTAAGTCGTTTTCTGGAAACTTCTGAACTATCTTATCGATATATGCTGGTTGGTTTAACCATATTGTCTTTTCTTCTCTGTTCCTTGTTACCTTCATACCTAAGATAGTACTTATCTCCCCCAGGTCGGTTATTATCCACCTTTTACCTAGCCCATCGAAGATTTCCTTCGCTTCTTCCTTCGACTTCGTGGCTAATACCAGATCATCGACATAGGCTAGCAGTATTGCTGCTCCCTTTCCTTCGATTTTCCCTTCTGGTCTGTAGTAAAGACCCCAATCTGATTCGGTTCTTGAAAAACCTAGGTGAGATAATCCTTCACCGAGTTCTATCCACCATGTCCTGCCAGATTGCTTTAAACCGTAAAGAGACTTAACTAACTTCAAGGTATTACATCCAGGCTTCGGTTTTATCCCCTTGGGATACTTCATGTAAATTTCTACATCGAGTTTACCGTTTAAATACGCCCCTTCGACATCGGCCTGACGAATTTCGAGATCTTCGGTGGCCGCTATAGTCAAAAGTATTCGTAACGACCCCGATCTACCGACAGGTGCGAATGTCTCTTCGTAGTCGACACCTGGTACCTGTGAGAATCCTTGAGCTACTAGTCTGGATTTATACTTTAGTAAGTTTCCTTCTGAATCTGTCTTCACTTTGAATACCCATTTACATCCAATGGCTTTACGGCCCGGTGGTAACACCGTTTCCACCCATGTTTCTTTAGATTCGATGTTAGATATCTCTTTCTCCATGGATTCCAGCCACTTCTCACCATCTGGGCCGTTTACTGCTTCTTCAGGAGAGATAGGATCAATGAGAGAAGTATCACTTTCGATACCTGCGATAGAGGCGAGTGAGACTAACTTATTAGGCTCGCGACCAAAGTCTAGGAACGAGTCTGTTAGGCCTGCAAAGCGGTGGGGGGGTCGAATAATTCGTCCGTGACGTGTCGTCAGGATCCCCTCATCCCCATCATTTCTTCCTTCCTCATCATTTCTCTCATTTTCGACGATATCGTTCTCATAGATCCAATTTCCTCCCCAAATGCCCTGTCCTCGTCGTCTTTCAGTAGGTTGTGGGCCTATATTAGGTGAGTTGTCTCTATCGACATCATTTCCTTGTTCATTATCGATATTTTCCTGTTCGCCACTTTCTGAGCGGTCGTCAGGGAAAATTTCTTCGTTGACGACGGGGTCTAGGTCCACTTCGATGGCGTCAAGAGGGGTTTGGATGACATCTGGCGACTCTCTAGTAGCCACCATTCGTCCTGTCGAGCGACGAACGTCTCGTGAGTGTTCGATTCGTCCCGATCCGTCCATTCTAACGATCCAACCGCTCACACCCTCATCTTGACCTAGTATAATGGCTGATGAACCCCTAGGTATCGTGAAGTTCGACTTCAGCCTTATCTCCCTTGGTATCTGAACAAAACATCGTTCACCAAATCTCCACACGCTATCTAGATTCGTGTCTCTTCCTGTGAGTGATGTCCAACCTGATTTACCACTGACACCAATCGATGTTTTCATAATTATAATGGCGGCGTATCTGACAGCATAGGACCAATATTCGTTCGGTAGTCCTGAGTCAAACAACATCGTTGATACCATCCCCTTCAAGGTACGTATCATTCTCTCCGCCACTCCATTTAATTCTGGTGTGTATCTTGGTGTGATGTAGTGGTTGATCCCTGCTGACAGGTAGAATTCCCTCATATCGAGGCTATCGAATTCACCTCCCCCATCAGATCTAATCACCCTCACCCTTTCACCAAGCTGTTTCTCCAATTTTGAGATACACTGTCGAACGATATCAGACGCTTCGTTCTTAGTCGTTATTGGTATGGCGAATACAATTCGACTCGCCCTTTCCACACCAACGAAGAAATATCGTTCACCTTTTATCGCCGGACCGAACGGACCAGTAATATCGACATCCATTCCTACTCCTTCACCATCTCCTTTTAACATTGGTGCTTCTTTATTCTTCGGTAGACGTGTTATCTTGGCCTGCATACAGGCGGGACATTTATCTGTTGTAAAGGGATCGTTCTTGTAAGTGTCCCAGTCCTTCTTCAATAGTCCCTGTCTACCTAGATTCTTTAGTTTGTCTACACCTATATGTCCGAGTCGCTGATGCTCAGATTCAAGTGGTGAAGTCGCCTTCGGTGTCGATATCACGATCATCGCGGCAGACATTGCTCTGCCGAATCGTACCGACCACAGTGAGTCATGTTTCCTCAAACCTAGTTTCTCTTTACCTTTACCTATCCATCCACCACCACTACTTAGATTCGCTTTCCACCCCCATGAGAGTAACTTCGAGAGGGAGAGAAGACTTATCTTTGCTGTGGGGACGTGATGTACATCTTTCAGTACCATTTTCTGTCCTGAATCTAGTTCGAGGTTAATGTCACCTGTTTCCCAAGCCGTCATTGACTTGCCAGATGCTAGTCCGAACACTCTCGGTTCCACTAGCCTTCTAATATTCGTCATTATCGACCTGTGAGGAGTTATATGGTGAGTAGCACCACTATCCACTACCCAGGTAGGGATTACACGAGTGTGGCTCACGTCATTAGACTCTGTAGCTAATCCCACCCACTCATTATCCTCAACCCACGGGTTTTCAATTTCTTCGGGCCATACGATGTTACTCGTGTACCCTTCGTCATCATCGAACCACGATTCTGTCGACATGGCCATCCCGGCCCACGCCTCGTGTTCACCATCCAATGACGAATACATCAAGGAGGTTTTGGAGTTATCCTTGGACTGGTTCTCATCCTTCGAGACCGTATGTCCTTTCTTATTATTCTTATTATTCCTCCATTTCTTTTTACCTCCATCCTTTACATCTGCGTTTTCTTTCCTGTTCGTATCCTCTCTTTTAGGTTTACGACAGTACTTCGCTAGATGTCCTACAGTGTCACAGTTATAACACTTTCTAGTTTCTTTCCTGGGCTGACCATCAGAGATATTATCTCGGTTCACCCTCATTCCTTTATTTCCTTCGACGAACATCGCGAATCCCTTCCTATTGGTTCTACCAACAGGGCGCGCTTTACGTCTCGCCGTTTCTTTATTGAAGATCGATAAGACCTTTTCCCAAGTTCTTTCCTCTGGTATGAGGGATGTTACTTCGATCTGAATGATCCTGTAGGATGGTGCTAGAATGGTATTGAGGAATAACCCAGCTCGATCCTGTGAGTCAAACTTCAACCCCACCAATTTCGCTTCGGACATCGTCTTCGAGAAATCCTCCACATGCTTAGCCATTTCTTCGGCCGTCGCATCGTCCCTTAAGTCATAGCTAAACAACGCTTGACGGACATTCCTTTGATTCTCGATCGTCGCTGTTACATGCAGGGCTATGCAGTAGTCCCACATTTCTTTAGCTGACATCTTCTCAGATATATCAAGCATCACAGCATCCGACACTGTTCCCTTGATCATCCCCTGCGCTTTATTCTCCCTCGCTTGCCACTTTTCCCATTCCTTCCACTCTTCTCCAGTAATCCTTCTACCAACCACTTGCCCTTCGACGGGCGTGGTAGGAGGTACTGATCCCGCCCTCTCAGCTGCCGATCTCACCCCTATGCGACCAGGTTCGGTATCATTACCTGTGACGATATTCCACACGTCACCTATCTGTAGATACACCTCGATCGACTTCCTCCACGGAGCATACGATGCTGGATCGTGGGATAACTTTGGGTGGTTCTCAAGAGAGATCTTAGACGACACGGAGGTCATTATGAGGAGAGTTAGAAATGGGAACTTGCCTTTGTTATACACAGAAGGTATGTGACTTCCGACTGTTAATCTGTTTGCTAATATTAGATGATAATACAGAGGGGAAAAAGAGCATGCATCAATTCTACATGTCTCTATACTTATCACATTCCACTCACACGCATTAAACCAGAGACGATCGAATAAAGTTCAGAGGATAAGTTGAACGGAGAAATATTCGACGGAAGGGGTAATTATCTAACGGTGGTTCGGCCGTCCTGGCCCGATTCTATCGGCTAACAATGTTCCACGAAACAGCTTCCCTTGCCGGTTGGAGAGAACTCGATTTCAGTTATCCGTTACACTATGGAAGAAAACCATTCGATCTCTCTGGTCCAGCACCTATGCCTGAAGACCGTTCGTCCGACTCGGCCGCTCCTGGGTACCTAGAAACGAAAGCTTGGGAAATCGTTACCGCCTTGGAAGTTGTACAACACCTTGACCAACGTATGGAGAGTGCCATCACCTGGGGTGTTCGACATCCTGTCGAGCTCGTTTGGGTCCGTGAACTCACATTCATCATAGATACCTTTCTAAGTTCCAATATTGGAACTCTTCTCCGCCTCGTCAGTCCAAACCTGACTCATTTACACATCTTGGCACCTCTAAGATCTCAAGACTTGACAGCGGTTTCCGCCATTATCTTATCTTTGCGTCGAATGGGGAGATCCTTTCCTTGCATGACCAACTTTGTGTACCAAGACTGCCACGTTGATGACAACTTCTTTAGGATGCCTCGGATGGAAGCGGTAATAGATTTTCTAGCCATGATGCCTAATTTGGTCCGGTTCGAAATGAATGGTCTCAATTTTTCATATACCCAACACCAAGATTGGACAACCTTAAGTGAGAGTGGTAGGAGAAATCAGAGCCAAATACTGCGTCCAGGTAGTTTACCTTATCTTGAAAACTTGCGGATCGGATCCGAGTGGACCTGGTATCATATGGGGACATCAACCCCTATGATTCTTCTTGCCTCCCCTAATTTACGTCAGCTCAGTATTTCCCATTCTCCTGCTAGCTACCGTTTGCGCTCCGATCACTGGGGACTTTATGGGACTGGCCAAGAGTCAGGTTATCCCATTTTGAATGATTTGAAGTGTCTTATCCAACTTCAAATGTGTGAGCTCTGTGCCTTGTTATATGATCGGTACCTACAAGAAAATCCGCCATCTGAAACTCCACTACCTTCCTTGAAGCGATTAATTGTGGACGTTTATACTGGAGAGAGAGAGATTGCACCCTGGGTGAGTTTCCCCTCCACTTGCCTGTCTGCTGAATCCTCAATCTCTGCTACTCTCCAACGGCTACGCCAGGTGTTTAGAAGGAAGACACTTGGGAGCTTTTGAGATCAGGAGCATCACTTGAAGTGTCAGGGACGACAGCTCATTGACAGGCACCTGTCGTCCTCACGTCTCCTTGCATCCCACGTCTACCCCATCTGAAGACGGTCATTCTCTCCATGAACAACCTTCAACGGGCTGAGATGCCTGAAGACCTCATTACACCCCCTCGCTCCTATCTCAAGACTCAGGAGGACGCCAACATGTACCAAGCATTACCCAATTTGGACAGGATTGTGTTCATCGATCCTGCTGAACCGGTCGAGGGAGGGAACGAAGAAGAACGACTCGAAATACTGATCAAAGTCGTCGAAGAAGCTCACCCTTCAACTTGGGCTGAAAGAAATATCCGAGGAAGCTATATCACGAATATTCGTCATCCTCTACACACGCATGAATTGTATCATCTTCGAACTTTAACATGGCCAGATTTGTTGAAACCGGAACCGGTATGGTCGGACGAGACGTACTACATAGATGGCCCGGTGCCATTGGAGGTATTACAAGAGATGGCAAGATTGGAAGATGTGACGGGATTCTGGGGTCGGGGGCTCCAAGTTGGAGATAGAGCGTGGGAGCATTTGATGGAATGGAATAGGACTATCAGAGCCGGGGGTTGGTCATGGTTTGAAGGAGATACGACGATCTTTCATTGAATGTGGAGGTAGGAGTATACAACTCAGAAATCAACGAATTTCTTTGTAGTTCTATTAACGACTTTTATCATGTTTGAATCTATGCAACATCTCAACTTCGTGACTATCACCAGGTTCTGAGGTGGCGTTCCTTGTTCATTCCGTGTGTTGAGAACAGTAAATGCCACATTCAATTCAAGTGCCACACTCCTTCCTCCTACCCTCCTCTGATCCTCTGACCGGTCAGAGTAGTATATATGCACGTCCTTGCTTCCTCTTACCATCCTTCTACACGATCACCTGAATTACCTTATAGTAGCATAATCTACCATGGGCGTTCGACACCCTCATAAACCTTCAGAATATCCATCCTTCATATTATATCTCTTAGACAAAGTATGTTCCTCCCTTCCAACCCCCCTCCTCTCACATCTTGTCATCTTCACAGCGTTTCGTATCTATGTCCAACCGCTCGATATCGTACACACGGATGCCGCTCGTATACTATAAATATTTGCTGGGTAGCTCGCTACTCATACCTATCCTCGATGCCGAACACTGGGGCAGGGTGCGATCAAGAACTTAGCTCATTCATCAGACACATCTCACAGTGACGGCAGCTACGACCATTTATGTTCTTTATCAACGTCGTGCTCATCCATTATACTTTGGTATCGGAGCTATACTATCTTCTATATCTGGTCAGTTCTTCCCACCTCAACTTTGATAACTATCCTCCTGACTCCTACCTCTTACTCTGCTTTGCTGGAACATTTTTCGATCGCTCATGCCACGTGGCAGGCACGTCCCATGACTTGAGGAGAACAATCGGAGGAGGGTCTTAGCATTAAATGGACGAGTAGATTGTACAGTCAAAAGGCCAAGGTTTAGGATTCGAGGTAAACAAGACACTGATCGAGATAACTTGACTGACTTCTAGCCAAACTTGTCAAACATTTCATCCGCGATCCTCGACCTCCTCCAGCTTCTTCCATCTCTTCCCCCGTCCGACCCAAACGCACATACGGTATGCCTTCCACTCATTCTACCGTTCTGACTTTCTTCCTAGCATATCTCCTTCCACAATCTCCCACCTTCACTCATCCTTACATCTATGGAACCAGCATAGCCGCATACTGGGCTGCGGGCGTGTGGAGCCGAACCAAACTGGGCTATCACACTTGGCCTCAATGTCTCGGCGGTATCTTTTTCGGTGCTGCCCTCGCATGGGGTTGGAATAGCCTATGGATAGGTCAACCCAGTCTAGAGGGGAACATTCAGACATTGATAGACCTTATGTTGAGCCCTCTGGGATTATCCAATTAGATCTGTACACTGTGAAGAGAAATGCATAATGCTGAATCTCACATATTTTGAATTGCTCTTCTGACGACCACGAACTATACCACCCCTCGCTCAAACCCGGAATGTCCTCTTCTCACAATCACTCGATCACTGTGACACTGGTGGACCCATACGACCTCTTCCGCCCCTTCCCCTGAAACCATTGCCCCTCATGCCCTGTCCTTGAAATCCCCCCATACCTTGACCGGAAAACGGAGGTGCGCCTTGACCTGAAGGCCCGCCCATATATTGTGGCTGATATCCTCCTCTGTTTCCCCCCTGATACCCGCCCCTGCTCTGTCCCTGGTAACCTCCCCTTGCCATCCCTCTCCCTCGCATGCCATTGCCCATGGGTCCACTCGGGACACCTGGTTCGCCAAAGGTATCCAAATTTCGACTCCGCTCTTCCATCCGATTTGTCCTGGCACTGTCCACACTCAGGCCGTCAAAGAACGACTTCTTGTTGTACGCTGAACTAGATTTACCCCTTGAGCCATTATCATTTTCAACGGGGAATGCGTCCCCATTCGACACGATAGCTGCGGGATGAGGTGACCGTTCCGGTATTCCAACTTCTTCCAACACTTGCGACGGTGACGCAGTACCGGCTTGATTACGCTTGAGCAATTCACGCTCTTTTTCGAGAACTTGTGTGCCAGCGGAAAAGTCAAACTCTGCATCTGGAACTGCAGGAGGTGCATGTTTTTTAGGAGAGGTTTGACGGGTGACGTGCAAGTCGGAGATGGAGCGCTGGATGCGGTCTAGGGCCGTGCTAGCGGATTGGGCAAAGTCGGGTCGAGCAGGGAGTTCGTGCCTGATGCGTGGGCTGGACCTTCCGGATTGAGAACTTGACCGCGACGAGACCTGATGAACAGGTAACTGAGGAGGTGGAGGGCTGGGTTGATGTTGTGGCCGAGGCAGAGGCTGATACTGTGGTTGACTTATAGGTGGAAGTGGGGGTTGAGGGAGAGACTGAGTTTGTGGTTGCGGGGCTGGAGCCGAGAAGGCTGCCGGAGGTGCTTTAGTACCCTATCCACATCAGTTGAAATTCCATATCTATACATGAAATGAATAGAGGGAAAGAGTGAATCAGAAGGAAGGCAACGGAGATGTCCACTTGGTTTTATGCGCTCTCGGACATGGCCCGTAGGCAATTACATCCGGAAATGCTTCATCATTCGAGAGAATTTGATAAAGGCAACATGGGGCGACGAAGACTTACAACGGCTGCTATGATGGGATCCTCATGGGGCGCGCCTGGAGGGACATGGTCGTTGATTATAGCGAGAGATTCAATGGATTCGGTGCTGCAATCAGTCACAGAGCTGATGCTTGCACGACATGTACATACTGGAAAAGTACCCAACCTAGAGATGTGGGTCTGGCAGGTATCTTCCTTGCCGTCGGTCGATCTTCTGTACCATGGTTGTATACTAAATGTCGTCAGCCGAGGAATGCGCGTCGACGAGAACACGGACCCTCAGCCAAACAAATAGTTTGGTCTTGTTGCGAGATACTTTCAAAGATGCCTGTGTATCTCACTCCTAGTTTGGAGATGACTTGAAATGGTTTTCTGGGCCATCAGTATGGCTCATCTTGTATGTTGGAGAGAGGATGGAATGAGAGGCTGTCTAGTCACGGAAAGTGGGAAACTCCGACTTACCCTTTGAACTGCTCATAGTCGACCGATTTGGCCATTTTGACTACAAGTAACCACAACAACGAGTGTTGGAGGTGTGAGGAGAAAGTAATGAACGATGTACGCCCAGAAAGAAGTGTATCACGACAAGGAAGAGGAAAAGATAGAAAGAGAGAGAGAGAGAGTCAACGTCAAGGTCGGGAGGAAACATGTCATAGGGATATATTCTAAAAATTTACCGGAAAATAATAAATTAAACCCACGCGACTGACTTTTCCGTTCTCAACGTGACAACCACCTTTCTCTCTCTCCTACCACCCTCACCTGCATACAACAAACACACCTCACACCCTCCTGTACCCCGAGGGCTGATTCAAAGAAAGAATACTTAACGTTTCCCATCCTCGAATATGCGAAGAAAATCATCAATATGACCCCAGCTGCTCCTCTGATCATACTCGTGATCCTCTGGTATTTTCTCGCTCTCAAGGGACAGGCTTCCAAAATAATATGGTCAGTTGTCTCTGTGCCCTCTCGCCACTCCCATCTACATATACTTGCTTCTCATCTGACTACATGTTCATCAACTAACTGACAATCCAGGATTCTTCTCAACCTTCTAGACACCCTTCGAGCACTTCGTCAAACCCGACCGAACGGAAGACGGATCGGGGTTGTCACCCGACGAAAAGCCATGCGAGAGACTTTGACTGGATGGATCGTTTTTGTATGTCTCTCTTCAAATCAGACTGGTCAAACTCATTGACTCAGGTTACGGTCTCTCAACTTGAACCTTTGGTGGATAACGTCATCGGATGGTTGCCCCTTTACTCGACAATGAGAATGATCACCTCAGCCGCATTCTTCGCTTCTCGTACTTCTGTAAGCCTCATACACTCCACTACCGGTTTAATGTTGACATGCAGTCATCTCTCACCCTTTTCAAAACTTTCATTGCTCCTCTGCTGGCCCAATACGCAGATTCCATCGATCTCACCATTTTGCTCATTGAATCTGTCGCGTTATTGGTTTGGCACTTCACTTTGGAACTGCCGCTCGAAACCCTCAAAATATACCTGAAACAGGTGCCTTACATTCCGGGCATTCTTTCGTTTTCTCCGGACGTTGTCGACATCCTCGACCCACTTCGTACAGAAGATCAGCTTGTTACCGACGACTCTCCCTCCGCCACTCCATCTGCTGTCGACCCTTCAGCTCCTCAACCAGCTACCACATCTCCTGTAAGCGAAACCGAGGGACCTCCCCTACAACAACGCCAGTCAACTACGACTATCCCTTGTGTACATGACAACCCCACGACCACACCCGCAACATCTCTTCCCACGCCCCAAGCATATCCAAGTCTACCCACCGATTCCATCAACATTATCAATGACCCAGAACCTCGTCCCCTTCACAACCAAAGAACACTGCGCAGCTCCCGGTCTACCATCTCTCTGACCAGTACCAAATCTGATCGTCCTTCATCCCGCATCACTACATCGTCAATCCGGTTAAAATCAGTCAACATCCCCTCCGCCCCTGCTGTTCCCTCAATAACCCACAAACCGGAAAAACCCACACTCAAACCACTCATCGGGACAGAAGTCAAATCGGCTCCTTCGAGACTTGGCACACTCCCTACTTTACCCACTATACGACAATCTAGTACAGGTCCTTTCCCTCAGAGAGATCGACAAGCTACAGCATACCGTTTATCAGGGTCGAGACCTGTCACTGGACAAGTTGAGTTGTCCCGTTCGATATCGACTACCAATACGTCCATTAAGACTGTTCCCACTATGGAAGCATTGTTCAAGGGACATAATCAAGAAAAGTCACACGCCATAAAGAGAGCAATGACAAGATCTACGACCGATGGTTATCTCACTCGTCCGATAGGTGGAAAGAAGGGAGGTGAGAGATTGGCTTCCAAGGTTGGAGAAAAGAGGTTGCACGTATTGAGGGAAATTGACGGACCTGAAAGTAAGAAACCAAAATTGGGTTCTGTTCCTTCATCTCATTAGTATCTCATGATACCGTTATCGATCATCTTTGTTTGTCTAGCTATACCCCTCCACCCAACAATTCCATGCGGACGATGTGAGCCATGTTACCATCCAAGTGTTTATACACTGTCGAATATGACCGAGCTGTGACTAAAATCTATATCTTTATATTTTTGTTGTAGGATTCACACAATGCATTAATTACATACCTTACAAAACATTTCATCTCTTAACCTCATCCTCGCATCTCCATGCAACCATCTCTAATGCTTGACATATCCAACCCACGGATAACTTTTTTCTCAGACTGGTATACCTGTACCTATCCTTGTCACTCCGTTCAAAACTCCAATCCCACTACCTGTCCTTCTCCTCGGTTTACTAGCTAACCATGCGTTCAACGCCGCCCTATCCGCTTTTCGAGATGCGAAAGAAGAAGAGTCTGTGTCATCTTGTAAGTTGTTACTGACATTTCCGTCGTTTCCTCCAATCCTTTTCATCTCTTCTCCTATTTCCAGTCCTCCCTCGTTACCCCTGTTTCCACCGTCTGAGTCTTTTGATCTCCCTATCTCCAACTCTTCCCGACTCGTCTTCCCACTCGTCCCTGATATGGACCGTGATGATACTCCGAAGGCAGTCCTACTCGTTGAATTCCCCTCGTCTACACCCAGACCTAAACCCAAACCCATCGTACGCTCTCTTCCCGAGTGACTTTCCACTGAACTACTACCACCCACAGCCGACAAAGCAGGACTTGACCTCCCTGAAATCGAAGATTTCTCTATTTGTCCTCTTGTATCTTCCTCAATTCTGATCCTCTCCTCGCCCTGACTACCATCTGACAATCTTCTCTCTTCCAAAGTCATCGAGGGAGGTGTGAGAGAAAATTGTGTCATACCTCCCAACACTTGTCTTTGCTCCTCTTTCACTGGAATTGGGACATGATCTGAAGTATTATCTTCCTCCATCACTCGTCGAACAGATCTAGGCAAATCATCAGGAAGTCTCGGATTTGGTTCTTGGAACATCCCTACTTTTACCTGTTGAAATGTCGAGGATTCAAGTCGATAATACTCCCCTCTTGGTTCTTCCGCATAAGTCCAAGTACGATTCTGTTCTTCGAGAACATACGAATGACCAGGAAATGACATTTTTCCTCCTGATCCCGATTGCCCACCCATCGCACCTGCTGAAGTGTGTGGACGTTTACGATGCGGTGGTCTAGGAGAAAGATGAGCTGTAGGTTGAAGTGGAGGAGTGAGTATGTCAGATTGGATTGGAGTAGGTGGTGAATCTCGTATATGTTTCAAATGTGGATGTGGACTGTTTTCATTCGGAAGATGAAGTGAAAAGGTGATGGAAGATGGTGTAGAGCTTAAATGATCTGATCCAGCTGATGATGATGCAGTACGACGATGATGTTCAGAACAAATTTTACGAAGTTCAGAAGGTGGAATGATATGAGCATCTAAATCATAGTCATCTTTGGTATTGTCGGCATTTCCATTTTCAGAGATATGTGATGTTCGTCTTTGTCTTGGAGTTTGAGAATTGCGTTCTTCGGAAGTGATATTGGAGCTGGAACGGATGTGTGAGGAAGATGATCTTGTTGGGAACGGTGAAAGAGATGAATCTGATTGATGGACACGTGAAGATGAAGGGGCGAGTGACACCTTTGAATCATTCAATGCGAGGAATGATAAAGCTGATAAACCCGTTTTGCGTTCAGTGGCCCGAAGAGCATTGACTGGAATTTCTTCTCTGGTTTCTGAACCACTGGAGAGGCTGATGGAAGATGTATCGGGGTGGTTCTGTCTGCCGAATATTGATGGCAACCCGGGTCCTATTGCCGTGGTAGGACGACCATTTTTAGTACGTAACTTTCGAATTGCTTTTGTCGCATTTAGTGAAATTTGTCGTTCTGTCGTACCGTTAGGAAGAGGGGGAAGTGGTCGTTGATGTATTGGCGTATCGCTAGTTATAAGCCATGGATTATGGTACAGCCAACGAAACATCTCAACAGTGACCTTTGAGATGAAAATTAGAAGATTACGAATCAGAGGGTAGGAGTCGATCTTCACAATTGAAGGCAATGGTAGGAGGAGAATGGTGAAGACCACATACCCTGATATATATATTTCTGACGTCGACGCTTCACCGACGCCTCCGCTTCCCGATCTAATCAAAGTGGTATGCCTGGGCCCCATGGCCGTTGGAGCGAATACCAAAGGTATCTTGACACCTTCCTTGCTCCCGGGCCGTTGAGACCGTTGAAATGATCCATCACTTATTCTCTCTTCACCTGAAGGTTGCATACCCCTTTCCCCACCCGAAGCCTGACGGCGCACTTCGACGGATGCACTCATTCCAACGGACCTTTGGGATGTAGGGATTGGACGATCAGCCGAACGGGGAGGGATCGGCGGCGTCGTTGAAGTCCTTTGTCTCGTGTCCAATCCTAAAAGACTCGCTGCGGAAGGTCTCGAAGTGTCTTGGAATACATCGGCTTTCTTGGACTTTTGGACAGGGAAGACGTAAGCGGCATTGAGTAGATTAGGCGATGAAGAGATGATTACACCAGGATAATGTATAGCACCGGTGAGTGTGGTAGTGGATGTCGAAGGTGTGAGGGGTCGAATATCTGTAGATGGTCTACCTCTAGACCGGAAAGGAGAATATTCCGAGAGAGGTTCCTCGATAGGAGATTTAGGTTTTTTTCTATTCTCACGCCATGATCGAATGCTCTTTATACCGGGTGATTTACGTTTATCCTTCTTTTCATCCAATTCAGCAAGTTCAGTTTCCAGTGGAAGAGCTACTAGATTCCTTCCGCCGGTCGGAGTTCGGCGAACTGAAGCTACAGGGAGTGATATAGAGCCAGATGGGGGTCGGTTAACGTGATATGCTCGTAGTTCAGATGGCCACTCGTCGGTGGAAGTAGGACCGGAGAGTTCTTCCAGGAAGTCGACAGCATTTATCGTGGTTTCATCACCTCCTCCACGGGTGACATAGCCATGGGTCGAAGAACTGTTGTTGGAAGAAGTCGAAGGGAGGAACTGATCCGAGAGAAGGCGATGACGGGGTGGTCGAGAGGTTTGGATTTTATTGCTGCGCGTCTTTTAAGTCTGCATAGCA